TGTTGTGACAACAACCGGCGTCATCTGATCTTAATCTACGCCTTTTTATGGCAGTCATGAGTTGCTCTTGAACGAGAGAACAGCGAACCAATCCTGGCTACAACTGTTCAACAGGTGAGCGTAAGAGGAGACTTCAAGCTTCCCGCCTTTCTTGAAAATGACACTGCAAATATGCCAATTTATGCCTCTCTTTGCAAACCACTCTGTTTGCTTCTCGCGAAACTTTATTTCCAAAAAAATTTCATTGCCCTGTCAGATAATACAAGAACTTCGTCTTCCAGAAGAGAAAGCAGGATGCTTTGCTTGTATTGTTCCTGATTGTGGGCGCGCAGAATGTGTGCCTTCCACTCTTTGACTTTCTCTTCAGCGACAAGTCCATTATGTCGAAGCCCATCCTCCTCTTTATTATTCATCTTGGAGGAATACTTTCCAATGGCAGAATGAATTTCCTGAATAGCCTCCTTCAGTGCCTTACAGTCGTAACATGAAATATTAAGGTCGTGGCCACAACCCGTGCAATAATCAGAGTCAGCAGGATCGCTCAGGGCGAATGTAGTGCAGTGGTCGGGACAATTGTCTTACGCTTTGCAGTTATCTCGATAGGCCGTCTTAAGTATAACTTAGCCTCTTTCAACCTTGTGCACGTTTGCGCACATTACTCGATCCTTGTTTGCCCCCTTTTCTTTCAATTCGTCTGAAATCTTGTGAAGTGCTTCAAAACCATCGACGTCATCTGCCGCCTTGTTATCTAGACCTTTAAGAGATTTTCTTTGGGAGGCTTCCTAAACTTCCAGAAGGCGCGACTCATCGACGAATCAAGGTACTGGTTAGTGATTGTACATCTTGCAATGGTACGCACTATGTTTGTCATCACTAGTTCTTTACCACTTTCAAGCTTGAGTTTTCGGCCTCCAAATGCCACATCCTGATGGTAGTAAGGGCGAGATGTAAATTCCAGAAAGTGATTCAACTGAATTTTATCTGATCGAACTCGATGCTGTGGTATCCTTGCTACTGGGATACCGTGGCCTCCAGAAGAACTGTGCACTCTCGCTTTTTTTATTTGCCCATCACTGATAATTTCAAAAGATCGATGAAGAGCCTTGAACTTGCTTGCTTAAAACTTATTGGCGTATATACTAAGGACCTGTGTCCTTAGCATATTAATTGGCAAAGTCGCTCCTCTAGGCCGCGACTAACGTCCCTAGACCAGGGTCAGCAGTCGTGTCGTTCACTTCTTCTCCCTGGAGAGCTTGGAGCAGCTTCTCTCCATCATTTGGTGCTATGACATTGCAAACCAACCTGCATGCCTCTGTAGCTTTACAAACAAATTCTTCTCGCTCCACATCACTACAAGCATCCCAGCTTTTCAGCTGATGTTGCAGCTGGTCAATTTTTTTTTTTTTAGCACTGATACCTCTGCAAGCTTTTCCATTGGAGAATTAAAAACCTGAACGGAAGAATGGCAATTGTTCTTTACCGTCAGGTGTGATTCTTCTTCTTCTTCTTCTTTACTACTTTCTAATTCACCAGTGGACTTAACCGAGGACTGTGTCTGCCTGAGCATGGATAACGTCGATTCCTGGTGTTGACGGCACTTCCTCGTGGGCCACGGCAAATTCTTTAGGTGCCCCGTAAAAAGAACGTGATAGAAGAGGTTAATCACGAGAATTCACCGCCATTACTTTCCCTCCTACAGCAATTTATCTCCAAATAGTCTCGTCCACCTATATATGTTCCCCTCTTTTTGTCTTTACTTGTCAGTTTATTCTAATTTTTCACGGTCATTCCTCCCTCATTTCTCTTATCTCCCTCCGGCTTCATCTGTCTATGTCCGACTACATTCCGTCTATAAGTTTCAATTTAATTCTCTCCGAGCTCAATCTCGTACCATTCGATATCTCAAGTTTACAAATGAGGATTTATCTCTGTGCAGGTGTAGTGAGCTGCTTGTGTCGCTACCGGCCTCATTCTCTACATCCGAAGCCCAGGCCGACTCCTTAAAGGTAGCTTTAAATCTCTTCCGACAATTACTGCAAATCATATCATTGGAAGAAGAAATATACTATTTAAAGCTTTCTTCGAAATGTCTGTTAACAATCATACATAGTATTTGGCCACACTATCAAAACTTCCTCAAAACACCCCGGGGCAAGCTCATTCCTAACATTTATCATAGCCTTCTCCCTTTTCTCGCCCCAGGGGCATGACTGACGAAACACGGAGTACGAGGCTGCCCTAGGCAAATGTCGTCACTTAGTCCTGTTGTAAAACTGAGTACTTTTTCGTTCTTTCTTCTGCTGCGATCATTCTACAAACGGATTTGTTTACAACACAATCGCATTTTGTACGTCTTAATAAGGTTTGAGATATCATACTAAGACACGAGCCCATGACAGGGCTAATAGATATTATCTAACACTATTTCCAAAGGGAAAACACCGAAAATGCGGGAGATGTGAATTTGGTTCTCCAAAAAGTACAACAAGGATAACTTCGTAACTGACCCACCTGATCAAATCGGGACAACCATTCCATGAAATTTCAGGATTTCTCTGGCCATTTTGAGATTAACTACATCCCTATTTTTTATCGCTTTACTACCGCCTTGGTGGGTGGAGTATTGACAAGGCCTTCCCTGAATCCAGTACCTCCACGACATGTCTTGGGCATATCATCATTTCGTTAAGCTTTGAAACTGGTAATTCAAAAAGCCCACTCTTGCTAAAATGAGTTCATGTTCAGTTAGCGTTTCGCGAAATAAATGACAAGAGCTCAGATGGCTTACAATTGACTTATTGCAATCTCCAAGGCTCACGGACTGTGTAATACCTCTTGAGCTACCACATGTTCCTCTATAATTCGAAAAGCACCACAAAAAGTATGGAGTCCCCATCTTGTTGTTCGCAACTTGTAAACCAAATCATTACTAAGATTTGGTGTAAATTAAATTGCTTTTCTCAGGTTAAGGCGGCTTCTTAGAACAATTTAAAAAATTGAATATCCATCCGAGTTTAAACGATGCCTCCTAACAGATCTATAATGATGACTACTTTTACATGACAGACGATTTTGAAAAGTAGCGGGTTAAGGTATTTTTCTAAATTTACGCAACTACATGTGAGTAAAATTATTGCAAACGAACTGCGTAATTGAATTTGAGTGACAAAAAGTTCACAGGAAAATTTCTGTACCGTGCTTTATACCTGTAGGGAAATAGATCAATCTTCCATCTTTCTGTTTTATTTAGTTTTCATCGACAAATATCTTTTTTTCTGACGATTTTATGAGAACTTACAGTTTAAGCACACAAAAGAGGGGCCCTTTTCATTTTTCTTTACTTAATGGTGTTTTCTCCTATTGCAAGTCATAAAAACGCTTTTATGGACTCAAATCACTCGTCAAACATAAGTTGGTCGTATAAGTTTTGTTTATTTTTTAGGCCGCTCCATGTGCATTGTTGGGTCGATTTTTCGAAAATGCGCGCGATTTGTTGGCCGGCTATTCTAGAAGTTCGCCGAAACCACAACATGTTTTAATATTTCTATGCTCTTCTACCCTATTTTAGCCAGTATATATATAAAAATATCGTGGGATAGAAGTTGGAATTTTGCGCTGAGCCGAGATAAAAAGTTACATATTTTAGGTCATGGTGGTGTGTCATACAAAAAGAAATTGCAGTGACAAAAACCGCCAAAAAAAAAAAAAAAAAAAGATTATGCTCTTTGTTCTCAGAAAGGGTAGATCTAAATATGCGGAGCAAAACAAACCCTGAACTAGAATTTTGTAAAAAAAACTCGGCTATTTGTGCCATTTTTGATATTCGGTGTTATTAAAAATTGGCGTTTGAGCGCTGAATCGATTTTCACTCAGAAAAATATTATTTTGCTACATTTGAAAAAACCAGGGTGGTTTCGATCACTTTTAGACTAAGATAGATTCCTGGGCAAAGTTTGAAAGAAATTGATTTTTCAACCCGAAACACACTGGACTGCTTTTAGAGAGACTGCGTCCTGAGTATGTGTCCACGAAAAATTATGACCAGATTCCATGTCGTATAGTCACTCGTGACACACACTCAGGACGCGTCCTCTTAACTGAACAACATATCAAAAAGGGGAAGATGTCGTGATAGCATTTTTTCCATTCACGATTTATCAGGAAAGGGGGAGAGGGGGAAGGAAAGTGAATACTCTCATCATAACTCCACACCCGCTTTCCAAAACAAATACGGTTTTCAAAAAATATGTCTGAAATTCTGAAAATGGATATATAAAAAAAATCAACTTCTGTTTCAAGACACACGATTACACAAAGTTTATTCTCGTTACATCAAAGTAATTAATTACATAGTTATATCTGCTAATCAAAAAGACTTATACAAAACATTCGTTAATAAGTAATAAAGCGACTACATTATTCGAATAACATCTCTTTACAATATGTCAATATTGAAGAATATTGAAGCTAACGCTTACATAGAAAACATAACCACAAACATTTTTTGGAGATCTAGAGCAATTAATTTTCAACTTATCATGTATTGCTGACGTTTCCTCTAAACTATTCCATGAACTTAGATTAAATGCACTTCTTTGGTATAACTCGTTCTCTTAGCATCTAGATAGGCATTATCTACATACCTAGCTATCATTTCTTTATGATAAAAAGTAGCACCGGTCTAAGTATATGATTACGATCAGTATGTGTAAATATTACTTTTCCAGCGTGCTGATTGGTTAGGTCGTGGGTATTCACCCAAGAACCATTCGCTTTCGAACAGCCGAAAAGTAATATGACGTCTTCGCCTTTCGCCTCCGTTTACGTAAAGGAAATTTTATCGATAAAAGAGGAGGCAATACCCGAGAACACAAAAGTTACACAGTACTTGCTTCAACAGAATTTAACGTTAAGTTTGTCAACCCATCCGACCTCAAATCTTAGAGAGAGAAATATCAAAATACAATAATTTTTTAACAGGGAAACTGACGAGCTCTATATTCATAAAGTTAGAAATAAAACATTGAATATTATGCGGCAGGATCTGAACAACAAGCAAGTCGAAATGTAGTTATCACATCAGAAGAGTAATATGTTAATTATCTGACTAAATTACCAACGGGGTTGACTGAAAGATAGACTTCATTCTACACACTTGTTGATAGAGCCACGTCCGTCATTTTTACTACTATTTCACGAATACATTTTTGAAATAGAAATCAAATCAATTTTCTTTACTGATTATATTTTACTCAAATATCTGAATACGATCGTTTCCATCATCGGCGACAACAATTTGCCCATTAGAAAGATCCGCCAGAGACCTTGGACCATTGAATTCTCCTAAATTGCCACCTTTAGTTCCAAACTTACTGAGAAACCTTCCATTCAGTTCAAATACTTGTACTCTATGATTATATGAGTCACATACCATCAGATGTCCTGACTTGTTCACTGACAAACATTCGGGATAATAAAACTTCCCGTCTCGTTCGCCTTCCTTTCCAAACTTGTACTGAAAGTTTCCGTCCCTGTCATAAACTTTAATACAATGTTCATTTCTGTCCGACACTATGAGATATGTATCGTACTGGACACAGTGGATGGGACAAGTAAAAGCCCCCTGTCCACCTATCTGCATTAGAAACGTGCCATCAGAAGAAAAGATCTTAATCATTTTGTTACCTGTATCAGCGACAATAATGTTTCCATTACTGTCTACCGATAAGCCCAAAGGAGAATTAAGCTGACTATCAAGGTTTCCTTTCTCACCAAAACTGCTCACGTACTGACCCTCCCCACTAAAAATCTGGATTCTGTGGTTATTCCGGTCGGCCACGTAAATATTCCCGTTATTATGAAATGCTATTCCCCTCGGATATTTAAACTCTCCCGCCATGTGACCTTCCCTACCGAATGATCTCAAGTAATTTCCATTCTTGTTAAAAATTTCAACTCTGTTGTCAAGGGAATTAGTTACAGCTATTTCATCCCTGGCATTCACTGCTACTCCCCAAGGACTCTTTCCGAAAGACAACACGGCTTTGAACTGAAATGGTTTTACTATTATAGTAAAAGGGCTGTTTTGAACATGTTCTCCGTTTACCTTTACTGTTACTCTAAACCTTCCTAAAACTCTGGGAAAATAGCTGATCTGATAGAGTCCATCTTTGTTGTCCTTTATTTGCACTTCCGTTACGCATTCTCGTCCATGTTCGTCCATGATCTCCACCGTTGCGTGATCATCTTCATTGTAACACTGTCTTCGTTCGGCGTCTCTTGTAGTTAAAGTAAACTGCGCTATATGGTTAACAAATCCTTCTTCAAGTCCTTTACCTTCAGCAACGGACTGGTTTGCTTTTGTTTGGTGTGCTAATCGCAAAGATCCAATTCCGTCGCCTTCAATAGTGTTCCGTAGCTTACGATTCTCAACAAAAGCTAAAAAAGGAGGGTTTTTTAAGTCGAGGTCCACTGGTTGGTTTTGATCATCTCTCTGAAACATTGTCTCTAATGATTTCATTAGGAGAACGACTTCAGCGTTTGTACTTCGTATCATCAGTTTATCAGCTTTCTCCAACGATAATTCGGTTAAGTCAATTTGACGTTCTATCTCCGTTTTCCGCCTTGCAATAATTTCGAGCGATTTCCCCGTTTCTCTCTTCACTGCTTCACAAATGGCTTGTTTCTTCGCTTCAACAGTTGCAAACAAATTGTCCACAAACTCCTGTACTTCTCGCTCCAAGTCTTCTCCTGTTTGTTTAATTTTTGCGTAATCCTCATCAAGTTGTCGTACAATGTTTCTTTTTGCTTGTAAATCACTCCTCTTTGTTTCTATCAATGAGTTCATTTGGATCTTTTGTTTTTCAGCTTCTTCGTCTAGGTGCACCATAGCGTGACCCGCATGATATAACACGACACAGCTGTGGCAAGCTGCCTTAGTACAATCCTTGCAGAAGTACTTCAGTTCTTCCTTCTCGTGCCGCTGTTTCGAGCAGTACATGGGTCGTTTCATCACATCTTCAAAGTCCTTTTCTTGAAAATCCTTGAGCGCCAGAACACGGTGATCTTTGTTGCTTCGCATGATGTTGTGTCCAATGACGCATTGTTGGCAATAAAATATGCAACACTGGAAACAATAAGATGTCTCGGAGCTTTTCTTGTCGCAATTTCCACACTGTACTTGACTGTTGTTACATTCTTTAATGGCTAACACATTAATCAGGCCGTTCAGGTAAAAACTGGTTGGTAGATCTTTCAGATCGCCACTTTCCGGCACTTTGTTTAGAGCTTGGCATTTCGGACATCTGATTGTGTCTCGGCCATGACTTGTTCTGTACCATTGCTGCAAGCACTGGAGGCAGAAACTGTGCAAACATTGGAGCTGTTTTGGATCCGTGTATATGTTAGTACACACAGGACATGACACTTCTTCACGAAGATCATGTAGCAACGTTTTGATATCCATTTTGTTCGTCAAATGTGAGCGAGGAGAGTAACTATTTCGCAGAAATCAGCTTGAAACAATGAAGCCTTGTGATCATCTCTTTTTGACTTTTCTAGAAGTAGCTGCCAATTATCATAATGGATTTAGCTATCATGTAACGGGAAGATATTTGTTTGTCTAGGACTCTGCTATCTAGTGTTTGTTTGCATTGTGTGCGTTCCAGACTAACCACAACACCAGTTCTTAGACATAGGTATGCATAGCATGCAAGAGTTACCTTTTCGGCTGGATGGGTTGAGATGGGACAGTTTGTGCACTTAATGTTTTCATTTTTGTCACCGAAAAAGTCATAAATTTCAAAAAACGAAAAAATTGCTGAAAGACAGAAAAAACCTAATTTATCTGAACTCACACAGATATTATGTCTCCTACTGTCTCTGCTGTCCAGATACTTCTAGGCAAACATATGGCATGCGTTGCCCGCAAGAATTATTTTTTCGACTGGGCGGGTTGAGATGGGGCACTTTACAAATTGCTTTTGTAACAAAAAAAGAACATAACTTTCAAACGGACGAAAATATCGCATTACTAAACAGTAAGAGAAAGAAAAAAAGACTAATTTTTCTGAACTTACACAGGTATTTTGTGGTCTATTGTCTAATTACTTCTACGCAAAAATAAAATGCATTAGTGCCACACTTCAGTATTGTTGTTTCCTGTCTCGTCACATAACGCCATTTATTCCCCGTTGGAGAGAGAACGCGTTGCGCGACGAGACCAAATAACGGTTGCGAAAGAGATGACTACGCTTACTGCCGTTCCTCTAACAGAGAGAGAAAATCAAAAGTATTCGTCTACAGCTAGTTGTCTCAAAAATATAATTTCACGTAATTTTACTACAAAAAGCAAGCTGAAACTCTGTTGTATCTCCAATATACCCTAACCAAAGATAAATTGCGATGTCGATCAGTGAAGATACATTGACCAAGAGAAAAGGATAACATTTAAAAGAAGGATTCTTGATTGGTTGCTGACTATCTGGACTTTGCCTTCTGTGTGTGAAATACGTCATAAAATGCAGGTTATTTATAAGGAATTAACATGGCGGGCGTTTTGAAACAGCCATGCCAATGTCCATTTTTTAAATTTTCTCCTCTCATTCTTCATTCGCCTCTCTCCATTCTCTACTCTCCATTCTCCATTCTTCATTTTCCATTCTCCATTCTCCATTCTTCAATTTCCATTCTCCACTCTCCATTTCCCATTTTTCATTTTTTTTATTTTTCTTCTCCCATTTCCCATTCCCCATTCTCCATTCTCCATTCTCCTTTCTTCATTCTCCATTCTCCATTCTTCATTCTCCATTCTCCATTCCCCATTCTCCAATCTCCATTCTCCATTCTTCATTCTCCATTCGCCATTCTTCATACCCCATTCTCCATTCTCCATTCTTCATTCTCCATTCTCCATTCTCCATTGCCCATTCTCCATTCTCCATTCTCCATTCTCCATTCTCCATTCTCCATTCTCCATTCTCCATTCTCCATTCTTCATTCTTCATTCTCCATTCTCAATTCTCCATTCTTCATACCCCATTCTCCATTCTCCATTCTCCATTCTTCATTCTCCATTCTCCATTCTCCATTCTTCATTCTTCATTCTCCATTCTCCATTCTCCATTCTCCATTCTCCATTCTCCATTCTCCATTCTCCATTCTCCATTCTTCATTCTTCATTCTCCATTCTCCATTCTTCATACCCCATTCTCCATTCTCCATTCTCCATTCTCCATTCTCAATTCTCCATTCTCCATTCTCCATTCTTCATTCTCCATTCTCCATTCTCCATACTCAATTCTCCATTCTCCATTCTTCATTCTCCATTCTCCATTCTCCATTCGCCATTCTCCATTCTCCATTCTACATTCTCCATTCTCCGTTCTTCATTCTTCATTCTCCATTCTCTATTCTTCAATTTCCATTCTCCACTCTCCATTTTCCATTTTTCATTTTTTTATTTTTCGTCTCCCTTTTCCCATTCCCCATTCCCCATTCTCCATTCTCCATTCTCCATTCTCCATTCTCCATTCTCCATTCTCCATTCTTCATTCCCCATTCTCCATTCCCCATTCTCCATTTTCCATTCTTCATTCTCCATTCTCCATTGCCCATTCTCCATTCTCCATTCTCCATTCTCCATTCTTCATTCTCCATTCTCCATTCTCCATTCTCCATTCTCCATTCTCCATTCTCCATTCTCCATTCTCCATTCTCCATTCTTCATTCTCCATTCTCCATTCTCCATTCTCCATTCTCCATTTCCCATTCTCCATTCTTCGTTCTCCATTCTCCATTCTCCAAATTCCATTCTCCATTCTTCATTCTCCATTCTCCATTCTCCATTCTCCATTCTCCATTCTCCATTCTCCATACTCCATTCTACATTCTCCATTCTCCGTTCTTCATTCTTCATTCTCCATTCCCTATTCTTCAATTTCCATTCTCCACTCTCCATTTTCCATTTTTCATTTTTTTAATTTTCTTCTCCCATTTCCCATTCCCCATTCTCCATTCTCCATTCTCCATTCTTCATTCTCCATTCTCCATTCTTCATTCTCCATTCTCCATTCTCCATTCTTCATTCTCCATTCTCCATTCCCCATTCTCCATTCTCCGTTCCCCGTTCTCCACCTCCATTCTCCATTCCCCATTCTCCAAACTACATTCTCCATTCAACATTCTTCATTCTTCATTCTCCATTCTCCATTCTCCAGTCTCCATTCTCCATTCTCCATTCTCCATTCTCCATTCTCCATTCTCCATTCTCCATTCTCCATTCTCCATTCTCCATTCTCCATTCTCCATTCTCCATTCTACGTTCTCCATCCTCCATTCTCCATTCTTTATTCTCCATGCTACATTCTCCATTCTCAATTCTCCATTCTCCATTCTCCGTTCTTCATTCTTCATTCTACATTCTCCATTCTCCATTCTCCATTCTCCATTCTCCATTCTCCATTCTCCATTCTTCATTCTCCATTCTCCATTCTCCATTCTCCATTCTCCATTCTACATTCTCCATCCTCCATTCTACATTCTCCATTCTCCATTCTACATTCTCCATTCTCAATTCTCCATTCTCAATTCTCCATTCTCCATTCTTCATACCCCATTCTCCATTCTCCATTCTCCATTCTCCATTCTCCATTCTCCATTCTTCATTCTCCATTCTTCATTCTCCATTCTCCATTCTCCATTCCCCATTCTCCATTCTCCATTCTCCATTCTCCATTCCCCATTCTCCATTCTCCATTCTCCATTCTCCATTCTCCATTCTCCATTCTCCATTCTCAATTCTCCATTCTCCATTCTCCATTCTTCATTCTTCATTCTCCATTCTCCATTCTCCATTCTCCATTCTCCATTCTTCATTTTCCATTCTCCATTTTCCATTCTCCATTTTCCATCTTCCATTCTCCATTCTCCATTCTTCATTCTCCATTCTTCATTCTCCATTCTCCATTCTCCATTCTCCATTCTCCATTCTCCATTCTTTATTCTCCATTCTCCATTCTCCATTCTCCATTCTCCATTCTCCATTCTCCATTCTCCATTCTCCATTCTCCATTCTCCATTCTCCATTCTCCATTCTCCATTCTTCATTCTCCATTCTCCATTCTCCATTCTCCATTCTCCATTCTCCATTCTCCATTCTCCATTCTCCATTCTCCATTCTCCATTCTCCATTCTCCATTCTCGATTCTACATTCTCCATTCTCCATTCTTCATTCTCCATTCTCCATTCTCCATTCTCCATTCTTCATTCTTCATTCTCCATTCTCCATTCTCCATTCTCCATTCTCCATTCTCCATTCTCATTCTCCATTCTCCATTCTCCATTCTCCATTCTCCATTCTCCATTCTCCATTCTCCATTCTCCATTCTCCATTCTCCATTCTCCATTCTCCATTCTCCATTCTCCATTCTCCATTCTCCATTCTTCATTCTTTATTCTCCATTCTCCATTCTCCATTCGCCATTCGCCATTCTCCATTCTCCATTCTTCATACCCATTCTCCATTCTCCATTCTTCATTCTCCATTCTCCATTCTCCATTCTCCATTCTTCATTCTCCATTCTTCATTCTTAATTTTCCATTATTCGTTCTCTTTTCTCCGTTCCCCGTTCCCTGTTCTACATTCTCCAATCTTCATTCTCCATTGTCTATTTTTCGTTTTCCATTTTTTATTTTTCTTTTCCCGTTTTCCATTCTCCATTCTCCACTCTTCCTCCCTTATTCCCTATTCTTTTTCTTCATTTACCACTCTCCATTTTCCATTTTCCATTTTCTATTTTTTATTTGCTCTTTCCCATTCTCCATTCCCAATCCCAGTTCCTCACTCTATATTTCCCATTCCACGTTCTCCAAATCATAGTCCATATTCCATAGTCCATATTCCACATTCCTGCCTTTAGTAACACACGAAACTTTCCCCACGTACCGTCAAAACACTCGCAAACGCTGATGGAAGCGGCAATATGTCAAGTATTTTCCGTTAACGTTTTCAAAAGTCCCAGTTTTCACCCATCTACGCAAAAAAAGGAACTTTTTTAAAGACGATATAGTATCAAAGCGTTGCCCTAACTTTGAAATCGTGTTCGAAAGGCTTCGCTCCCATGTGTATTTTCGACTGTCTTCGACTTGAATGATCATGACAAAAACGCATAAAAACATTAGTTTCTAGTACTACGAAACCAAATTTGTCTGGTTTCAGATTGTGCTTGTCTTTTCGATCGTGGAATCGTCCCGGCCGTCTCGAAAACTGGAGCAATCGGATTGATTCGGGCAGAAACATAACTAGGGTGATTCTATGTAAAACATTTTTTAAACCTTTATGAAAACAAACAGCGAAATATAATAATATAACAATAGCTATCTAAGAACATTTTATTACTTTGCCGGCAGGTTAAAGTAATAATGAATTTCCGCAGCATTCAAATGAAGCAAGAGATTATTGTTCTTTTCTGTATATAATGTTCTGATTTTTTAATGACTCCTTTAAAAAAAAAACGAAACAAAAGAAGGTATAAAAAAAATTGAAGTCAGATCGTCCGTCAGAAGAACGATATTTGTTATGTCTGGATTTTAATTTTGATAACTGCTTATGCGTCAGAAAAGTTACCCAAATATTTTCCGTTATAATAAGTGTTTTTTACTTGAACTCTATCGAAGTAACATCGATTGCGTGCTTTTAAAAAATATGACAGTCTTGAATATCCTTTTTGCTCCTATTTCCAAAGAGAACAGCAATTGCAAAAGAAAAAGGCCTTGCGATCTTAATTTTTTTTTTTCGTTATGGAATCGAAGTAAAAGCTGGTATCATAAGGTAGTAACAAACACATTTAGGCAGCGTCGTGAACGCACATGGTCTCTGGCGTTCACTTTCGTAAGACGAATTTCTTGCGGCAGGGTCTCCAATCGAAAACAATTTATTCACGGCAGGATTCGCATAAAAACACAACAAAATGTCGTCTGTAGTGAGAACTCAAAGCTCATTTTTCCCCTTTTTTCCCTTTAAGCCCGAAGTACAGTCAAGCAGTCAATAAACAGAGTTGAAAGCGCTGTAACATACTACTGGACTGGTCTCACTGACAACAAAAGGCAAGTGTACACTTAATTCAAAATTTCAAATACTGTTTGTAATCTTGTAATGATCCGAACATCACTTGAATTGTGAGAAATTAAATTTTCCTCGCAATGGAATTTTGCATCACTTTAAATCGATTCGATGTCACCTCATAATCTCACCTGTACTAATTTACAATGATGAAAAAGTCACGTCAAGAATTCTTCTGCTGTAACGAATAAAAAAGCAAAAGCAATATTTTCTATCTCACGTTAATGTTTATTCATACATCTACAAACACATCAGTGCGACAGTTTGTCGTCTTTTTCTTTTTTTTTTTTTTCCTTAATTTTTATTAAAAATGCGTCAATTTCACAATACTCAACATCTGTCCAATGCCTAAAAATCTATCATCTTATTGTAAAATTTGACACACGTATAAATAATAGTACATGGGTGAACTTTTCCGCTGTTTCCAAATTAAAAAAAGAAATGTTTGCGCTACAAGATCAAAAGGAGTGACAATCACTGTCGTTCTGTAAAGAACTTTAAGAGAGGCTTTCAAGATGTGAATAATTATACTGATATCACACAGTTTTGTAATCGCGTGCCTTATCTAGTAATATTTATCACACATTCACGTCGATCATTTGTTCGAATTTTATTGCGTCGCGCATTTAAATGGCTTTTCCAACCACAGAGGTCGCACCAACTGAAGTTGAATAAGTCGCTGCGCTTACAGAAACGCAAATGATAAAAAAAACCTAAAATCCTAACAGCAGACGACTTAAAGATAAACGCCACCGAATCAAGTACTTTTTCCACAACTCCATACTAATATTTCCTCTCAACTAACGCAAATTTTCAACAAATACGAGGAGAAAGGTTTTTCGACAATATCTTCCCTCAAATAACGTCGCGTATTCTGTTTGAAGCCTGTCCAAATCACCTGTTACAGCGATAGTTGACACGAATTCATCCACGCATTCATTTTCTGATAATTCAAACGCAAAATTCTTCTTGAACAGCTGAGAGATGATAGATAACCCACAGAACGTCTTGAACAAGTATGGATCCGCAGAATTGATTGTCGTTCATCTAGTTATTTCCTTGAAAGTTTCGGTTAAAGAAGCACAATCCCCATTGAAGCCCGCTAATGTTTACAAAAGGAAGGCCTTTTGTTTAGATGTAATTTCTTTCATAGAAATGCTTTCCTACGAGAGAAAGTTTCTAAGGCCAGAATTCATGCATTGCTTCGACGCTCTAGTAGTAAAATTTTGTCACTGCAACGAATTTGATCGGTGTTTCCAAGGAAGAAGTTTTCACCGCTGTGGACTGCATCGAAGCAATCGTAAAAATAGCCAGAACTTTGTCGAGAATCGTGTCATTGTCCACGGGAAAACACTATTTTCGCAACAACCCTCACCGTCGCAACCCTAAATTTTCTGTACGGTCAGACTTGATCACAACTGCGATACGAAGTAACTCAGGAGAAAACAGAAAGCAGAAACATGATACCAAAGAGCTATAGCTCCCACGAACAAGCCAAAAGCCATATCTCAACGACATCAATAAAGACACCTAGGTTATGAAATTATGTTAATTACGACCTACTAATGGCCGAGCAATAGCCTGGATAAAACAGGTGCTACGCATGCTTTTGTGAGAGGCTACGGCTGTACCGATTTGTGTTGGTTGGAAGGAATTATTTCCTATAGATGTCTGTTTGCGATATCATATTCGCGATCGTTAGAGTTTTTATTTACCATTCATCCTAATGAGAGCCATTGTTCAGCGTGTCACACAGGCAAGTGTTTCTGGTAAGGTTTTTTAGTCTAGATCAGCTTGCTTGTAATTTTTCTTGGACTCAGTTCTGCAGATTTCTCTCACTTCTCTACGCGGAAGAAAGAACTTTCCTTAATTAAGGGTTCAGTTCTCATCGAGCGAAGAGTGTAATTCACTGCATCACCTTAATTATGCCTCGTTCCTGCCTTCCTTTCAAGTTGCATTGTTTAAAGGAGAACGGTAGATTTTTGTCAGGGTGAATGTAGTCAGTGTCAGGCTATCAATTAGCTGCCACAGTCTTTCCAGTCATCATTTATTGTTTCGGGATTGGCGAGGAAGTGCTCCCTATTTCCCTAGCAAAAATTATGGCCACCATCTCTGATTTTAATGGCAGTGAAAGGCTGGGGAGAGAAAGAAATTTGTACCGAGGGGGCAATTGACAGTCAAAAATAAGAAGAGGAGTGGGGTGGGGGAGTGCCCTTCCCTGCCCCCTACCTCCACCATGCACTCTGACTCCAAACAAACCACAGCCATATGGATTAAAAATTGCGCACTAGTTAAGTTAACTCAACCTAATAAGTTGCCTGCACTGCAGGCTTAAAAGCATAGCAAGGCATCCTACGGTTTAAATGGCTTGCTCCTAGTCCCAGCCCAGGGATTAGCCAATCAGTGACCATAGATGTGTTTCTGGCTGCCGTCTCCAAAGCCTTGAGGCTAAAAGATTTTGAACACCTACTAGTAACTAGGTCATTTTTAGGTTTATCTTTGACCCTTTAACTTCCATGAGTGACCAAAAGAGAGTTTCTCCTAACAGTATTAAAACAATATCAACCAGATAAGAGGTGAGAATAAAGAAAAATAACAATTTGGGAATAATTAGTGGATCCAATACTAAATTCTCTGAACTATTATTATAAGAATTGTATTGTTGACAGTAAGGAGAATTACAAATTTGATCTGGAAGTAAACAGGTTCATCTCTGCTAGGCAGGCCTTTCTAGCTGATTTTTCTTTTTGCATCCTTCCTTGGAGGACTTGTAGAAAGGTTTATATTGTGTTGTGGCCTAGAGAAAATTAACAGACTAAATCCCTTAGGGTGGAGGATACTTGAGCATCAGCCAACTATTGGTCAACAGGTGATAACCCATTGACCAACTGAACAAAAAGTTAAGACAAATTACAAACTGTCATGTTGACTGACCATGGATAGATACACAGAGATTATCCCATGGACAATGTGCACCAAAAAAATTTATTCAGACATTGCGATGGATTAAAAAAAATTTGTGAGTGCAGCAAATGTGTGAGTTTTTTGTTGCATCGCAATGGGTGAATTAGAATTGCTCAAGCACTTACTGTGGTATGATACTTTTTTTCCATATATACTGACAGAGATTCTTTCTCAAAGATTGAAAGTGAAGGACAGTTAAAATATTGTGTTGGCCTGATCAGAGACATGAATGATATTACTTTACAATGTAAATCTCATTATATAGGAAACAAAATGTCTTATGGCACACATGATCTGCATTTCTTACACCTACTGTAAGTAGAGTGGATTTTATAACACCAAAATTTTAGACAAACTAGCCATCTATCAGTGGAATAATGGAAGTCATGACACTTCTTTTTTTTTCATTGTAATTATTATTATTATTATTAATTTTTTTTAGTGTCACATATCTCCTATATGTATTACATCACCATGGCTACAGTTGATGATTGACAATGGTAATAAGACTGAGTGGAATCCAATTTGGTCTGTAATCATGAGTGATTAACAAAATCAGACAACCATGAAGCAGGAGTCTGTTTTGTTGTCCAATTTGTTAATTTTTTGATCACGAGTATGATTACAGACAATTAGATGACACAAAGTCGGAGTTACCAATTAACCAAAACTATGATATCGTTCAAGACAGAAATTAGACATTGATTATACATTTCCATTAAAAAAACAAAAAACAAGAACAAAGGATAACCTGGTAAAATGCCCAACAACAGTGCACATACTAGATGCTTACCTTCCACATACACAGGCATGACGTGTCAACTGTCTTATTACTCTATCCAATTACAAGCATGATAAGTACACTGTCCTATCAGGCTGGTGATAACCAATTACACTCAAGAATTTTGTTATAGTTTTGATTAATGAATATATAGGTCAATAGTTCACAAACTCTGCAATGGTAGTTGGTAGATGGTCAACTGGCACAACAGATTTTGAGTACTTAAAAAGCATTTTTTGTTAAAATTGTTCAATTTGTGTGCATTTGACAGTTGATGGTGAAGTTATTAGTTCCATTGGAAAAGGACTCTGTGTTTTATTGGGAATATCAAAGTATGACACTCCCAAAGACATTGAATATATGTGAGTATTTTTTTTTTTCTCAATATAAACCTAGAGTGAGAGAAATAAACAATTTAATCATTTTGCTGTCAAGGAGAAGTTCATTTATTTTCAACATAATACAATGCTCTCCTCCCAAAAACTGTTGAATGATGCTCTGGTGATTTTCTCTTTAAGGGTGAGAAAAATTCTGAACTTAAGAGTCTTTGATGAGAATGATCAAAGATGGAAGAAGTCTGTTGTAGATAAAAATTTTGAAGTACTGTGTGTGAGTCAGGTGAGCCAACAGAACTTTGCAGAATATGAGGATTAAATTAGAAATTTAATAAATACACAAGGTTTACTCTTTATTTTTATTTGCATTACAATATTGTATTATTATAATTTTCAGAGGTAATTTCACTTTGATCTCATAAGATATTTATTTTAAGTAAGCTATGATTGAAAGAAAAAATGAAATTGATCATTGGTAATAATTATGATTTTGTAACAACCTTAAGTGATCTTTTTTTTTGCAATGCTGGTGATATGCAAGATAAAAAATTACACTTTTTAGACATGCTGTAACCCTTTAAATCTTAGAAGTGACCAGCATTTAATTTCCTGTTATAGTAATAACGCTGAATCATTTATTAGGATCATGAGAGTAAAGGAAATGATCACCATATTACAAAGAAAGAGGCTTTGATTGTTAAACAAATTCTCTTTGTTAGTATCAAGGGAAATGAATCAAGTAGACTATGGAGAATATTGATACTGATGTTAGGGTGTAAAGAGTTAATCTGGTAGCTGTCTCAAATTTTTTATTTAATAAATGATCTTGACAATTAAACTTATGGCATTAGTGTGCAGTTAGATTCAATTGATAGTATCAAATTTTTTGGTAACACACTGATAGGTAATAATTGTGCAGGAATAATTTAAGGCTTGAAGCTAAGCCTCTTGCTGTCCCTATATTTTTGTGTTGGGGTTTTTTCAGTTAAAAAATTCCTTAATACATACTTTGCAAATATAAGGTTAGGCCTAAGGCTTGGATCTTACCCTATGAGCTCAGTTAACCTTTTGACTCCCAAGATTCCAGTAATAATCTTCCTTGCTGTCTGCTATAAATGATGTAAGATTGGAGAATTTGTTATTGGATCAATTAGTAATATGCTAATTGATGCTTTTCTTTATTCCCATCAGTTGTCTGCTTGATATTTTATTGATATTGTAAGAAAAGAAATATTTTGTTTCTGACACTCATAAGAATTCAAGGATTAACCCTTTAAGTCCCATTAGTGACCAGGAGAGAATTTCTCCTTACACCATCAGCACAGTATCAAGCAGACAAGAAATGATAATAAAGAAAAATATGAATCAGGGGACTATTGGTTGATCCAATTCCAAATTCTCCAAACTAACATCATATGAATTGTATGGCAGACAGTAAGGAAAATTACCTAGTAATGAAATCTTGTGAGTTCAAGGGTTAAAGTCCTTTTGAGAGGGAGCCTGGGGGAAAAAGTCCATCACAAGCCTTTTTTGAAGGATCTTTCTTGTGTCAAATTTTGAATTAGTGCACCTAAATCTTTTTTGTGGTTTCTGTATATTTGTCTTCCTGTTTAGTTCACACTACAAGCAGTTCTAAAGGGAAATAAACCAGATTATCATCTTGCAATGGGTGGTGAACAGAGTAAGGCTTTTTATGGTGACTTTCTTCAAGCAATGAAATCGGCCTACAAACCTGATGCCATTAAAGGTGATCATCGTAATTAGAGAGTCGTAAGCGGTGAAGGAACAAGAATGGATTTTACGTAAATCTGAGCAACTTGTGAGACTTTTCATAGTTTGAAGGAGACTTATAAATAGTGTAGAATGGTGGTAAAATACCCTAGAGGCAGTGATAGATCTTAGAAGGTGCAAGGAGAGGTAAAAACTGACTACGCAGGAAGACGAAGTTGAAAACATTTGGAGCGCGTACAGGGTGACGACGATCTGTTTGACAAATTTTAAACCAATCAGCACTGGTCATTTTTCGAAAGCAGCCAATTGCAATGGGCCTTGTCGTTCGCTCACCGCAAGGGCGGGAAAGTTACTAAAGATTGATTTTGTGAGGGAGAAGTGCTGTGGAAAGAGTTTGCTAATTACGCAGCGAATGATACTAAATAAACGTTTCACTGTTTGTCCCATAGATGTGCATGTGAAGTGAATTTAAAGTAATTGAGTAAACACACAAATATTTTCTTAAATTTTCTATCTTTTTCTTATGTTTCTGTCTCAGACGGAAAATTTGGAGCGTACATGCAAGTTCACATTCAGAATGATGGTCCAGTTACAATATCCCTAGAAACGCCACCGCCAAAACCAATGCAACAAAAACAGGTTTGCTTATTAAATTCGATCCTCATTATTCTTTTTAATTTTTGGCTTCTTCTCTTTTCTTCTTCGTTTCTTGGTTTTTCTGACCCTGGATGCCAAAGGCGTCTTTGTGCGCTCGATAGCATTTTGATAGGCGCCATATCAGTCCTAGCTCACGAGCAGGCCCTGATTATAAATGCTTTGGCCGAGCGTTTCTTCGCTCGCGGGAAATTTGAGGCCTTGAATAGGTCTGAGCGACGAGAGCCGGCGAGAGATCTGGGTCTAGCACTGATATTGAGTGCCAGGCTCACGGAAAATCTCTTCCGTCTTAAAATCTTCCCACAGGAAGAGAAACGAGTGTTCTGCAGCGATGATACTGAAGGCCTACGCGAATCAGATCCTCGCTGCTCCTCGGGTAACCGCTTTTCCTGAACACAAGCAGGTTTTCAAGCTTTGTAACCCCATAGTTTTGGTCGATATTTTGTTCCAATCAAGCCTATACTGCCACCTACTCGTTGCGTTTGCCCCCGGATCCCTCGAAATACTCTTTTGCGCGCGAAAAATCGTCTAGTTCCTTTGGTAACTTTCTTGGCAAAGCTTCAGCAAAAAACGACTGCGAACAACTCATATTTTCCATCGCACTTCTATTCCATTTCTAGGCAAAAAAAAATGCATTGTCTTCCGAATAAATCGAAGGAGCATCCTTTTTCTCTGATTTCGTAAAACTGTTGCATGTCATTCGTTATTTTTTCTTCAGGTCAAAGGAACTTCAGGTGCTTCAAAATCAGCTCCCATAACTGGGGATGAGGGTTCTACGAACAGTTTACCCGATTCAGAAAATCACAGTTCGCCAATCGATGCTGAACAAAAGATAGACAAATTTGACGATCTCAACCTGGACGAAAAACGAGGAAGTACGTGACGCTGGGTCAATTCCAAACCACAACTGAAAATCTTGTATCTAATCATGACGCCACAGATTTGCTTTACATTTGTTCGGCATAAATGTTGTCAGTTTTAAACGTCTAATATTTCAGTACAAATTATATATTTATGTACTTTACTGTACAAAAAAAATATAGCTGTTGTCATTGTAGTGCCCAGATTTTCGTTCTCAAAGGTAGTTGTTGCAAATAGATCGTATCCTTTTACATTTTCCGTTAGGATATCCTCATATATATGTTACATAGGTAATACTGCTGTCCTTGTTTTTAGAATTGCCCAGTTGGAACTAAGGTCCTTGCTTACACCTCATTTCACCCCTCGTGCATAAAAATATCAATTCGGAACTGCCCTTGTCACGGTTGCATGCATAACGCTTTGCGAACGGATATACAGTAATTTTAGTTTGGTTTGGTTTGGCTTGGTTTTTGTGAGCTAGGTAGCGTTTCGAAACATAATGTACTTGAATTTGAAAGCTTGTGTTCGTTTCCTTTAAGACGAATAGATTTAGGTGCTGCGACTCAATATCCCCTTGGAATACCGGAAGTCCAGTAGTAAAAATGTAAAAAGGTGATGGAGAGGTATATTTTACTCACCGGTCCTTTTGTACCGGAAGTAAACGTTGGTCTTTAATTTTCTTGTCTGTTTTTGTTTTTGTCTTTTTCAGGGGGGGGGGGGAGATAGGTATCAAATCAAAACCTATTATTCTATAATTTTGCGAAACGCTTATTAGTTTCCTTGTAATAGGTTTTAATCAAAGAAATGTACGCTGTAGGTATAGTTACATGTTGGATCAAGGTTTGGCCCTTAGTGAGTTTTCAATAAGTTCCATCCTTTGTAACAACTTCCCCGGCCGAAAGCTTTGTGGCAAATTAATTTTCATATTTTGCTTTTGCTTTTTTTTTTTTTTCTGTTGTTGTTATTTATTAACGGGGCGTTCCAAACTAGTGTCTACCCACTCACCCTGTCCCCCTTTCCTCAAGCCGCCCATTTGCTCACGCGATTTAGGGATCATTAAAGGTGATCCCTTCTTTTCTTGTGACACCGGCAAGAAAGTGGGTCTTTCATATGCAGGGCAACTAGGTCTGATAAATGAAACTTCCCTTAACAGAACTTTATAGGAAGTCGGCTGTTTAAGTTATCATGACTCCCTTGATGGAATTGAACCCTCGGCTGTGAAAGCGCATTGTTCGTGAGTGATTTCAACAAGCGATCTGGCGAACTTAAATTTCCATTTTGAAGGCCAAAAAAGGAAAAAAACGAAAACAAACAAACAAATAGACAATTAGACAAACAAAAAAGTGCATGAGCAAAGAAACAAACCAGGAAAGCAAAAAAAACAAAAATTCGATCAGACCAGAGCAAGAAAGCAAGAAACAAATCCGAAAGAAGGAAAGAATTTAGGCTTAGGGCTGATTATTTACACGACGCGGTTTTTACGTAAGTAGTGGGCCTTAGGGATTCTACGTAAGAGAGTTGATTTAATAAAATACATGTTCTTCCACTGTTTCCTTTCGGTCATCTTGACACAACCCACAAAAATAAATTTTCCGACCGATAAAAGTTTCGGCTAAATTGAAGATGACATAGAACGCGGTTTTGTTAAAAATAAATAAATAAATAAATAAATAAAAAAAGAAGGAAAACGGCGAAACCGGCCTTCAAGTAACCGTCATGCAACACGTCCTCTGTCCCCCATCAGAACTCGCATGCGTCACGGCTTGGGAGGATACTAGCCCAAAACAGACGGATTAGTGTTACGAGGTTTGCCCTTCTTGAACTTAGTTTCATACTTCTGTCACATACGAAAACGAAACAAAATCCAACTCTCATCAGTGGAGGTCGCATGAGAAAGATCATCAACCACCCTTCCGAAAAAGTCAAAAATAGGACGCCGCGTGACGTCAGAACGTTATCTCCCAAGGCATTCAGGGTCCAGGCGCAGACCCTTAACTCTGGAAATCAAATAGCTTGTAAGGCAGATGCCTTCCTTGCTTAGAATAGGCGTATGATACAATTAGTCTGAAGCGTTTCGCCATCTTCCCGCTCCACTAATTACTAGATAACCTCTTTCTAAAAAGCGCGTTCACCAAGTGGTAAAATAATATATCATCTAAATTGCTCGAGTGTCAAGAATTAATTTAAATTAAAACGAGTGTGGACATTACTTACGTATTTACAAGTGTTTAATAGACGAAGTCTCACTCTTCGGCTTATAATTACTAGCGTCACTAGCACTTGAGAATTGTAGCAAGCGTTAATTCGAAAGCGTGTCATTCTGATATTGGGCGCAAACACGCGTTTTCTTAACACATGCCCCTGCACTCTCGTTGAGTGAATTAACATCCGCTTATCTGATCTGTAAATGTTTTGCGTATTTACACGCTCAAAAAGGGCAGAAGAGCAGGAAATCACTGACCAAATGTGTGACCCTCGGCGCATATGAAGTTTTCGTATCAGGAACTCACACGTCACGTAGCCCGGTATAATGACTTGACAGGTCGACTTTAAGAAGTGCTCCTCAAAATGAAAAAAACCAAATTCGGCTCTGAAAACCGTTGATGTGACTTTAACGAGGACAATTAATTCCAAGCTAATTACTACCACTTTCGTATAGTTCACTTCTTTCTTTCCATTCAGTCCCATTTTTCATTTCCCATTTACGTCAACAAGGTCCATGATAACAAAATATTGAGTTGGCATTTATTATCCCAGACTATCAAATACATGCTGAGCATCTACAAGATAGATCTCCCTAAAGACTCTACGAGAAGTAAATATTAGATGAAAAATTGCCAAAGTTCGTTTCCGTATCGAAAACCTGTCGGCCTCGTCGCAAAGATCTCCACGGAATTGTTGTTCGCCAATCAGCAAATTCACATGCAAATCCAACACGTGATAATTTTCCATGCTTGACTGCTCCTGAATACCACGAGAAATTAACATACATACAGACATGTGGACAGAAAATATATGACTTTATAAATATGATTCAAGAGCGGCTGGTTACCCGTTAGCGTAGATTTTCGGCCGAACTTTCGGAAACTCGAGAGAAAGCTATTTCGAGGCAGTGAGAAGAGGATTTCTACGCGTCAGACGTCGCATAAGTGGGTTGGCGAAATTTTCCTGGAGAAAATATGAAAGGCCGTGAGTAAATAGCCATTGTTAACAACTTAGCAGTCCAATCCCACATCATTTTAAAAATCTATTATTCTGCTACACTTATCAATGCATTGCCCGGTTCCCATTAATTTCTTCATTCTCGACATTTGCTTGAAATGACGTTCTCGAACGCTTTTCGCTTCAAATTTTTACCAAGCGAAGTGTTGAAAATTTCGTGACTTGCCAGTTCTGAGCGTCTGTTGTCTAGCTCGGTACGAAACAAATACTTGGTTCTTTCCTCGAAACAAAGCTCTTCTTCTTCTGGATCTAGTGTTCGATCAACCGGGCTTTCAGATGTCCTTCTTTATTCCAAAAGCACCGCTAAAATATATTCTATGATTGTGGAAAATATTTTTCCTTCTCATTTCCGGTCAATTTCTTATCGAACGAGCAGGAAAGGAAATTTTCAGAAACTCTCAATTTCCAAGCTTCTTTATTCAAAAATTCCATCAAATAAGGCATCTCGTTTTTTCAGATGAGTTTACAGGCGTTTTATTGTTTGATTTCTTTCACGAGACATCCTCTAATTATGAATTATTCAATAGTGTATATGTTCTCGGAGTTCCTTAGATAGTATTTCGACGATTGCTAGGAAATAAAAATCGCTAACTTGATATATATATTGTCACGCTCTAATCAAATCTTGTTAAATCTGTGCAGACGACAAAGTGACCGAAAACTACAGCCCGCGATAAACTCTGTCAGACAGAAATTAAAAGCCATGTGGTTGATTTGTGGCGCTAGGCAACTGGTACACCAGGAGGAGACATGATCTAATCACAAGAGTCACTCGTCGAGATATAAAAACTAAAATAAAATATTGTTATTTCGGATACTAATCCTATAACCAATGATGCTAACTTGATGAAAGTTAAAGAACCGTTGTACGATTTTTTCATTGGCTCTACCCTTTGTTACTGTGTATCAAATCAAGATTTTAATTTGTTTTCTTTTGGACAGATAAAAGGGAAAATGGAAATGGACATTCTTACAAAGGTAACGCATTCTTATATAATTTATTTGCATTGTCATGAATACATTATCATATGTTAGTATGAAAACACATCACGTGATTTTGTCCTGTTAACGTCGGCTTCGCTTCGTCTTTCGTCTCTGAAAAGTGGGAAAACCTCTTAATATTTCTTTTAATTTCCATGCGTTTCGTCTCTTGAGGTAGTAAGAGGCGGAAAACAACTTAATTAAGTACACTGAAGTGATTTAAAGCATTTAGACGATTTCAATGGCTTCGGAGACTCGAACTTCAATCATGGCACATTCGAGAGTGGATGGGAAGAAAGGAGAAGAGAAAGACACTGACAACAACCAACACGTGTCTAAGATAGAAAGCGATAGTGACGGGGAATACCACGGTTAGAGAATCAAAACCACAATGTCCTTCCCGGGAGAAGTGCAACTTCTTCCTGGAAATCGTAAACACGTATGAATTGTTCTTAAATGTTTGTTTTCGCAGAGCCGGGGATGAGAGTCGGTGAGGAGTACCAAGCCTCCATACCAGAGCTCGTTACCGAGAGTAAGTTTCCTCTGTTTACGTTAAATGAAGATGGACATTTCTTGCTGTGAAAGGCGAAAAATGATCCAATTAAGAAGTTGTTTAACTGATAGAGGGCCTGATAGAGATATTCTTTAAAATCGGAAAGATTTTTACTTCACCGGCCCGCTGACTTGTAATTGCACAAATTCTGACTTAACTTTGATGATTTCTTTCGTTAATTGTTTGAACTTTTTGATGTATTTTCCACCGCATTTCAACGCATTTATGACTTACGTATTTTTTTCTTTAACTTTGCATCGATCTGATTATGTGCAACTTGTTTTAGCTAATTAAAACTCGGAACTTAAATGGGGATTTCGCGTTACTATGTCGCACTGGAAATACATGAAGTACTTTGTGATAAGAATTTCGTGATTTTTTCCCGACTAAATCGAGTTTCCGGTTCGGTCGATCCCTCATTTGCATCTTTTAATTGTTAGCTAAGACCAGCATTTACAATTTATCATTTAAACCTTCCATAAAATTCCTGTTTTAAAACGTTAAGTCAGGAAAATTACTTTGATGTTCTGACAACTAGAAGGTGAATGGATGGGAATCGAAGTTTTGGGAAAAGCTTTTCAAAACACCATTTTTTAACCAGAACGCTTTTTTTACTAGTTAATACAGTAAGGATGCCAAAATTCTAGTTTCTTTGTTCATAGATGACAAAAAAATGTTTTATACTTTGGCTCTTTTACCAACATTCAAATTTTGATGTTTCTTCACTATGAATTATTTATGCTTGGTTTAAACCAGTCTGTGTTTTATCCTGCAGCTGGTTTTTCAAGGCAAAGGGTGTTTGTTGCATAATTTGCTTTAAATCTCATGATTTGTCATAGGTATCATGAGATCAATTTACAAATGATTTGTATTTGATTGAAAATAGTTCAAACTGTGCTGTGCATCATCAAAATCCACACACACAGTACACCTGTGTACATTGTGCAGTCGTGAACCTACTAATCTGACTTAAAATTGAAGTGGGTTTTGCACAGTTTTAGAAATGCTTCACCTAACCAAAATAATGGTCTCATTTTATCTATCATGCCTGGCTAGTAGAAAGACTGTGAACAGCATAACAACACAAAGAGGGGCAATAGAAGTAGTAGGTGTACCACCAAACATTGTGTTTTGGAGTGAAGGTTCAACCAAACATTTTATCTATTTTTCAATAGAAGTAGCACTAAGCACACTGAAATACATTTTCAGTTGACTCATGATTTAGAGGTACATGAATGAGGAAGGTTAAAGGTAAAGTCTGTTCTCACTTCATGTCACCCATCCATTTGAAGCTTATTTAAGTGTCCATGGCATGAAGCTATTAGGAGTATCACGACTCCCCCCCCTAAATGGGATGCCAGTCTGTCTCAAAGTTAGCCCCTCTGCCTCCATCATTTCATCAGGCTTCCCTGCATAAATTAGTGTAGTAAAATTTTCCTGTCCATTTAATTTGCCTTTTTTTTCTTTTGTTATTCTAAATTCAGACAAGGAGGAAGCTAAACATGACTCAACTCTTCGCCATAATGCTCTTCTCGTGTGGGCCCCTGTTGAAGATATTCCAAATTCAAAATGTAAGTACAATAACTTTCACATAATTTCCCACTAAAATATCACCTTTTGTTCTGTTCTTTTACTGTGTTAACATGCATTAACCATTTTTGTGTCCAGCAAAAACCATTATGAGTTTTTTTTCAGGGTTGATGTAACCTTTCAACTTCAGGCAAACATACAAGTGATTCAATTTCAGTCAAAAAATTGCTTGAGATGATCTTTAACTATTAAAAAAAATTAACAACAAGCCACTAACAAAAATTATTGCAACAGTAGGTGTTTTTAAGATTGGAGAGGATTATCTTATTGCACAACATTTTTGTTTGGATTATTGATGGTAAAGACATGTATTTACTTGAACAGCAACATGCTTAATCTGGATTATAACAGTGCTTTTTCAAATCAAGTAATGACATTTTCTCATGTTTACGCAATATACTGGTACACATTTGTAATGTGCAAGATACATGTCTTTCAAACAATTGCACAATTGATTCTGTAACTGTTATTTGATGGAACCTTGGTCTTTAAGTTCAAATTGTTCATGAAATGTCTTTTTAAGTTTATTTCCTGTTCAATTTTCAGTGGATGATTATGTAACAGTAGCAAAGGACAAGCATGGATACAATGTTGAACAGGTATGGGCACATTTTTGGACTTGCGTCTTTGCATTTACCTTAGTTTACTTTCTGTATTTACTGCTTTAATTGCAGTTTGCTGGTAAGAATCTGTTGGTCTCTTGAGTTCACTTTTTTCTGAGCATTCTCTTTTTTACCTCAGGCACTTGGAATGCTGTTCTGGCACAAGCATAATCTAGATAAGTCTCTGACTGATTTGGCAAACTTTACGCCTTTCCCAGGTATAGGTTCAATTGTGTTTTTAGTAAAATGTCACCAACCATGTGTGTGATGATTCTTTAATCACTGAAAAGATGTTTGTAATAATGCCTGAGTAACAATCCATGCAATATCAAACGTTCACTGTATTTTGCAAGAGAATGCAGGACACTTTGCAGTGGAAATGTGCCAGTAGGACTTTCAGCATTCTCCCTTGTTTTAAACAGGATAGCTTGAAGAAATTTTTAAACTACACATAGTAAAGTAATCCTTTTACCGATGGAGTTTTCAAGAATTCCAAGCAATTGTAGGCAGTATTTAGAGTTATTGCAGGCAATAAATTTTACTGGTTATAACCCCCTGAAAAGGAGAACATTGGTCTTTATTCCATGTTTCCCTCCTTTGTAATCACAAATGCATGATCATAAATTTGTAATTCAATCGGGAAAAAAAATATAAACTACAATACGTGGCACCAAACCACTTTTGTTTAGAAAAACTAAGTAGATAATGTTTGCCTTAAATCATTAGTTGTATGTACTAAGTTCAGATATAGGCTATGAAAACCATTATGATCACAGCTGGTGATGATCACAGCTGATGATATTGGCCTTGAAAACCATTAGGATCACAGCTGGTGATGATCACAGCTGATGATATATATATTTATCAATAAAGGGCAAAATTACTGAGCGCTGATTGGTTGAGAGAGAGGGCATTTTTTTCTTAATCGAGGGCATTTTTAGTAATCAAGAGAGGGCATGATTACCTGTTAATGATTGGCTAATCCGTTGCATAGCAACCGTTTGTTTGCCCTTTATTGAATGGCGACTTGGGCAATTTTGGAAAATTTTAAAAACTCTCGTGCAATTAATCCTTAATAGTACTTGGCCTCATGTGATTACCTATACATATATTATTCAATTTCTCTCTTTTTTTTGCTTTTTATAATTTTGAATTGCCATTAACCAGATGAGTGGAGCATGGAAGATAAGATCCTGTTTGAACAAGCATACAGTTCTCATGGCAAAAGCTTCAAGAGGATTCAACAAATTGTGAGTGTGAATGCAATGTGATCTTGCATGTACAACTGTGAATTTTTTAGTGTAATGTGTAATAGTGGAAACTTGGCATTTATTGGGACATGGATCTCCTTGCCTTGGTTTGTTCTGTGATAACTCTGTATGGAGTTGTGTCATTTTTATTGTTTAACACCAGAAATGCAAGTCATTGGTTTTGTATTGTTTTAACTCTTAGTTGCCTGACAAATCAGTAGCCACGCTAGTGAAATATTACTACTCCTGGAAAAAAACCAGAAGCCGAACCAGTTTGATTGATCGGCAAGCCAAGAAGATGGCTGTTCAAAAGGAACCCATCAAGTAAGTTAGTAAAGTTAAGTGGAAGAAATATGGGGACAGGGAGCAATGAGGAGGTTAAGAGATGCTTCCTTATTCAGGAGTTACAATTATCCATTATAAACAAGCAGATGAAACAATTCAAATATAACAAGAAAATAAGTAAAAAACATGATTTAAAAACTTCTGCTTCATTTTGTCTCTTCGAAGGCTTCAAAAGATTATGTTGCAGCTTTTTTGAGTATTGGCATTTTGCATAAATAAAATTTTTATTTATCTTGAGCCATTCACTCCCAAGATCCAATCAGTGATTTTCCCTACTAACTTAAAAAATGCTTGCTGGTAAGCTACTCTGTTCTCATCACTTCTTTACAAGAAAATTTATGGAATTTTAAAGGAGAAGTTGCATTTTCATCACTTCTGGGAGTTTAAAGGTGTAAAGTCTTAAAATTACAGCAAGCTATAACTTAGTCCCACAGCAAACAGAGTGGGTAGATCTCTGTTATCACTTGTTGCAAGTAATTCTATTAAACTGGTTGATAATAGAAGCCCAGAATCTCTCAGAGCTTTTGAGATTTTGTCTGTTTGGTTGTAGCATATAGAAATCATATGAGAAGGATTTGCTGACTCAACTTTATCGCACAATTTTTCATTTTCAAACAGTGACCCTGAGAGTGACAATAGTGACTCAAGTGACAGTGACTTTGAGCCAGAAAAAGAGGTAACTGGAAACGATACTTGATTGCAATGGTTTAATTTTTTTAGTGTTTTAGCCTTTTTCCTTTTTTTTTTTTTCTTCCTGTGTGTGTATGTTTAGTTGCACGTCGATATTCCTTGTAGAAGTATGAAGGCAGCTCTTTAACCCTTTAACTCCCAAGATCTGATTGGTAATTCTCCCATCCAGTTGTTACAGATTTCCTTGTAATTTAGTTACAAGAATTCTGTGTTATATCATGATGACAGCTTTTAACTGATAAGTTTGAGTACTCTTGTTACCTGTTTGTTGGATAGTGTTTGGATATTTTAGGGAGAAGTTACATTTAAATCACTTTGGGGAGTTAAAAGGTTCATGGTTTTTCCTCAAATTAACCTTGACTGGCCTCTTTATCCCCATTACCCTGCATCAGCCGTTACTGATGAGTCAATAGAAAGTTAAGTAAAGGGGGTAAGTTTCTAAAGAAACAGTGGTTCTGCATCAGTGGGGAGTATAACATGATAGGTTGGTTTTATCAACTGAGTTGACAATTAAATGTAAATTGGCCACCATAATGAGTTTCTTAAGCTGACATTTTGTGCATTATCCCTTTATCAGAGCAAATAGGAATAGAAAGTCTGTTCCTTAACTACTTAATAACTTTCAATATATCTTTGATCATTGGTGCTTTAAACTAGTAGATAAATCTTTCTGATTTTTTTTCTCTGTAATAGGCAAGACAAGCAAATGGTCAAAGCAAACCAAAGATCATGAACAAGCAGCCCATTGTATGTATATTTTCAATTTTCAATTTAGATTACACAATCATATAACAGTTACCATTATTAATATACATCTATGTCTGGTGTCCTTCATGGACTTTGTACTTAGGAAACAGAGCTGGTTTTGTAAACAGCTTGGATGGTTTTATGATTACTCTAATTGCATCGACTTAATGTGACTTTGCAATCATGTTACACTACATTGGTGTTGTAATCAGCAGTTTGTAAGGAACAACTTGCAAGTTCAGTTTGAGTTGTAACAGATGATTGTGCAAAAAAAATATGTAATTTTTTTTAATTTTGATAACTTGCATTTTAAAATACTGACTACAGTGGTGCAAAGTTGTGCTCTAAAAAAAATCCAGCCTCACTGCAAGGCTTGACCACTTGTAGTATTATTATGTTTTTGTTTTCATTCCATATCGTTAACACTAGTGTTGTTATTGCTTTTATCAATGGAATAATACCATTATAACTGTTACCATTATTGTTTAGACACTAATGTGTGATCAAGTATTTTTGCCTTTTTTATGCAGGGAGCAGCAACGGCAACAAACATTTCTGGTTCTTGTGCAAATTGCCGTACACAAGCTAATCAACTGCATGCCACCCAGAGGGGGAACATGTGTAGTGCATGTTATCAGTTCTACAGGTATTTTATTTCAATGTCGTGGAGCTGGAAAAATGAGACTAATGTAAACATACAACTCACAGCTGCTTTAACCCTGAAACTCCCATGAATAACTAAGACAGAATTTCTCCTTACAATATCGAATACAATGTTGAGAAGATAAGTGATGAGAATAAGGGAAAATATCAATTAGGAGGTTATTAGTTGATCCAATATCAAATTCTCTGAAGTAACATCATGATAGTTGTTTGGCAGACAGTAAGGAGAATTACTAATGAGATCTTGGGAGTGAAAGGGTTGAAGTCACAAACTACACTAACACAAAACTAACAAATTGTGAAGATAATCCTTTGCTTTATATCATTAGTAAAAAAGTACAACACAATTTGGCAGTACCAACTCTGAGTCTGGCCTCATTTTACAGGAGAACAGGAACTCTGCGACCAAGGCATGAAGGAAGAGAGACAAGAGCTGGCCACCGAGGAAACAAAGTAAAACGAAAAGCTCCTAAGGTTGGGTTATTACAAATGCAACAGCAATTGCATTTAAGCTTGCCTTTTCTGTGCAAAGGCAACTATTTTCTGCAAGGATTCTTGTTATTATTTCTGTTACAACTATTTGAACTACTGAATATTGTAATTTGACTTGTGACAACTCATTTCCCTCTCCTTTGTTCAGTCCTCAGTTACTCTCATTCATGGTTAAGAATGCATTTTCCTTAATTAACCAAGAACTGAAACCATAGATATGTCAATGGTTAACCCTTTAATTCCAAAGATCTGATTGTTAGTTCTCCCCTTGAGCTTTTTTAATTGAATTTGTACGAAGTACATGTACCCTGTGGATTATTAATGAATTCTGTCCATAATCACTCTAGGGAATGGTTCTGTCACAGGAATACCTTGTGTCTGTGTCTGGTACCCTTGGGGATAATCATGTGCGACCTTTGGAGGTGGATATTGTCAACCTCAAGAGACAGATCCAGACAAACAAGCAGGAGATAAGTCAGCACAAGTACACGCTGGATGGTGGTGTAGAAACTATGAGACCAGGAGATGTAAGTTGAATAAATAATGAAAGGCAGTGAAATTGTATTTGAGATTTAACAGTGGTAAGAAACTTCGATAGGGGTTTGAACACTGTGTTTGAAAGAAAAAAGTGTGTTGGTTATTTTCTAAGATCATATGGCATATTCAGAGCAGAACTGCAGTAGCACTGTCACAGTGTCCTGCACACCTACCCTTTCCCTAACTCAACAACAGTCAATTGATAACAATTTAAAGTTAATGTTGGGTTAGGGGAGGGGTAGGTGGACAGTTGCCCAGATACTGATATTGATGCGATGGCAGTTCACACTCCATGCTAAAGCTACAATGGGAGGTTAAAACATAGATGTTACGAAAGTTTAAACCTCCTACTCCCCCCCTAAGTATTTTGAATTTTGTGTGCTTTATAAACTTTACCAAGGCATGGTGACTGTCTGGTCTCCATCATTGTTGGGGGGGGGGGGGGGGGTGAAGTTCTGTGTACACACCTGAATTGGCAATAAGTGGTCTTTTGCAATACCCTACATACATTTGAATGTGGGATATGCTTTCAGTTACCATCCCAAGGAATTTTGACCTCTTTTGTACCTCTAGTTACACGGCACTTGTGATGAAAATTATACATACAATTTACTGTCTTTAGCTTTAGATTTGATAAGTATACCATGAAGAAACAACAAGTGGTCTTTTGTAATACCCTACATATATATAAATGTGGGACATGTTCAGTTACTGTCCCAAAGAATTTTGACCTGTTTTGTACCTCTAGTTACATGCCGCTTGTGTTGAAAATGATCCATATAATTTACTGTCTTTAACTTCAGACTTGATAAGTATACCATAAAGAAACAACAAGTGGTCTTTTGTAATACTCTACATATATTTGGATGTGGGACATGTTCAGTTACCATCCCAAGGAATTTTGACCTGTTTTGTACCTCTAGTTACACGCCACTTGTGATGCAAATGATACATATAATTTACTGTCTTTAACTTTAGACTTGATAAGTATACCGCGAAGAAACGTTTTTTTCTTGTAGTGGAATGTTTTTTTTCCATTGCTTTTTTGTTTTATTTTATATTTTTTAGCAAAATAACAAAAACAATGCCAGATGGTCAAACGATGAGCTTCTCTTAGCGGTGCAATGTAAGTTTGGAATTAGTTCCTCTTTATCTTGCCTCAGTCAGAGACTGGTTGACTTTTGATCACCAAGCGACAATGTGATGGTCACAGCAGGGGTTTATATCAAACAGGAACCCTGATTTTGCACGCCCTTCCGCTGCTCCTTGAATTAACTGGGAAGAAAGGGGCGGAAAAGTATCTTATTCTTAACTAGTAGTATGTGCTGTCAGTAGAAGGTAGGCGTCAGAAATTTCGATTTCCGTTTCTTAGTTTTGCTAAGAAAAGTGGTGCAGATCATGAATGCTTTGATACGGAGATGAAAGTTACTCTAATTGAAAACTCGGATGAAGGCTTGATATCCAATTTAAGTGTGGTTGCTTCGAGGAGGTTTGATGTTTGCGTATTTTCTGCATAGCCGTTAGACGCTATGGGAAAGACTTCCAAGCCATGGCTGAAGTCTTGGGCAATAAGAGTGTCAGCCAGTGCCGAAATTTCTTCGTCAACTACCGAAGACGCTTCAATCTTCAACAAGTTCTGGAAGAGTATGAAGCGGAACAAGGAATCACAAGCAGTGACAGAAAAGACGATGACTTGCAGGTTCTGCACATGTCAGGATCTCCCGGAAGCAGTGGAAACTCATCTCCCAATCAACAAGACAGGTCCTCTCCGTCCATTCCCAATCAGGGTAAGTATTTGTCTTCTGTGCAATTTTCAAACGTACATGTATGGAACAAAATTGAATACTGCTGCTTACATAATTCTGCTAGTGGAGGCGATATGCTTGTTGCAGTTTTATTCTGTTGGTTCCTGGTTAGAGTTTTGATGGGATTTCGATATAGCTAGAATCATCAGTCACATAAGTCGATAATCAGGGAAAAGGTAAATATTCCAGAAGCAGTGAAAAAAGGCTGCTTGATGCACTGGGGAAACACGAATGTGCTTCTGATTTTTTGAGAGGATGAGTCGCGTTCCCAGACCGGTCACATAGTGCAGTGAACCTAAACCACTGCATTCCCAGATGATCGTTCTGAATTACCTTGCACTCTCAGAGAAATTTTTATTACTGTGGAGAGTAGTCAGAGATTAGTTTAAATAGTTTTGCTTAACTTTGCTCTGGGATTGGTCCAGAAACTCGCGATACTTTTCCAACCAATAGGACTCAAAACTTAAGCCGATCGTGACTAGCTAAGGCAGTTTGCTTGTTTTGTTTTGTTTTGTTTTTTTTTGTGAGGTTGAGTTCACATCGGCTTCCTGAGAATTTTGTTGTTTTTACTTTGGTTTTGCTTAAACGATACGCGTTGGAAATGTGCCCTGAAAAAGTTCCCTGTGGTGAGTTTACGCTGAAAAGCAAAACTTTTGATTTGCATCCCATTCCAGGCCTCCCCAGTCAGCCGCCGCCTCTTCTAAAGCCGTCTGGATCACAAGCTCAACGTCATCCTCCCCCCTTGCAAGCTCAGGTCGGAGTCCCACGAACCAGTCAGGGGGGTCTGCAGGGCCCGCCTCCACTGATAAAACCAATGGTCCCACCTATACGACCACAGGTGACGATCGTGACGATGTTTATTCTCATAATATAATAAAGGGGGTACTTCGTTTTGCTTTTTCTTGTTACGTTTTGTTTTTTCTTTTTTGGAGGGGGAGTAGGGGTTGGAAAGTGATAGGTTTTGTTCGGAAATCTTTGAAAACTTAAAGAAAAAAAAAACTGCTTGCATAGTTGAAGCATCAAGCGGCGTCAAAACGTAATAGCGAGTGTCAAAGCGGCGAGAAGTTTGGGACGGATCTACCACGCCTCACGGACTTGTAGGCCTACTAAGACCTTTTGACACTAATCAAACATTGACATTAACATGTAGGACATAGAGAATACATAATAATAAGTTCAACTGCGCTGTGAAATCCTGCTCAAGGAACCTTCGGTAGCTGAAGATTGACTACAGTTAAGTGCGCTCGGGGAAGATCTTGAAAAGCGGTATGGAGTTGACTTGGTGTGGTAGAATCGGGGCCAGTGAAACTGCGATGTACGTTTCCGCTTGCTGTGCGTAAGAGCAAGAGAAAAGTAATATAACCCTTGAAAAAATCGCGTCCTCATTCAGTAATGGCTGTGTACATACATATATGTTATTCACCAGACGGGAGGTCCGTATTGGGGAAAAACTGTGCCGGAGGTCTTAGATTTCCATTCGTTTTACTTATTTACTGATTTATTTTCAGCCACTTCATCCTCAAGCGAACCCAATGATGCGGCAATCCCCGCCAGCTCACTCACATCTAATTCAACAAATGATGGAGCAAAAACCCCTCGGTGGTCCTGTCGGTAGATCTGAATCACCGCATAGTGCCTCTGGTACCCCTCCCTTGCGGCAGACACGCTCTGGCATGTGATACTAATGTTTGAGAGTTGGGAATTTGAATTCACACTAGTTAGGTGAAAGTATATATATTTTTCTGCTGAAAAAAAAAAACGTTAGGGTTTTTAAGTTTGAATCCTGTTTCATGTAAGTGATTGAATTGCATTGTAGGAGTGTTGAAGTTTTTGTAGTGGTATGCGAGCGGCTGAAGCAATTGAGTTAGAAACCGTTTTGAGCGCTTTTCGATTGAGTGTCGACAACAGCCAACCATAGTAAGGAAAATACACCAGGAGTCAGTGAGAACTCGTGGTAAAAGAACAAGCAAGCTGCCTTAAGAGCGGGAAAAGCGAGTGACCAAGCAGCATTTAGTTTTGATTTTAAATCTGATTGGTCGAAAAAGTGGCACGGGTTTTCTGGGCCAATCATACAGCGACGTGAGCAAAACCCACCCTCAACACTCAGTTGAAAAGTGCTCTATTCCAAAGGCTATACTCCAAAAGTTCTCCTCAGAAGAATGCTTTTCTAAGAACAACTAAACGGCAATTAAAACAAAGAAAATATCCCAAGGAGCTAATCTTATCTCGAATTTATAGCCGTCAAACCACTGGGAGCGCAGGAAATTGCGAAAACTTCACAATATGTCATGACTAACTGAGTTCAGAACAAATTGAAATTTCAGTTTTCTCCTTATTCTCACAATCTGACCAATCTCTAACTAACGTTTGATTCAATTTCGTGAGCCGACGAAATATCACCGTGCTCTAAAAATATCATAATACTTTTCCTGAGGCCTCGTGTTGTCTCCGGAGGAGACCCGAGGACAATCAGGGATGATAAACAAAACCGTGTTACTCTTAAAGTGACTGCGTTAAATTTTATGCTTTGTTGACTACTTGCGTTTTGTTAAAGATCAGAGCTCTTCTCTTCCCTTTCATTTTATTGTCACAGTTAAGCGATTCACCAACAGACTATTAAGTTGAAACATCTTGTACAGCTTGAAATAAACAGTACCTTGTATAAGTTCTGCTTGGAGTCTTTTCCTGGAATTTTTCCGAAGGGTCTTACTGATTCCCAATCCTTACCATCCATTACTTTAGAGCTACACTGTAGTTCGTACATCGACCACACGTATGTTCACGCTTGTACTAACTCAGAACGCCTTCCTTTCCCCCCACCCCCCTTCCGAAGACTGGATATAAGACCATAAGAAAAGCGGTGGAAATCAAGCCTAGAGAAAGTCAATCTGACATTTTCACGCAGCTGGAAGGTTGATTTATTAGCAGAAGGGAGCTCCACGATAGAAACTCGTCATTATAAATTTTCACTCTGCATTCTTTCAATACTGATAGCTTTTCCAAGATAAATAAAGATTCAATCACCTCTCACGTTTCTAAAGCACCATATGAAAGATTGTTCATAAAACTTTCGTTTATTTGCCACACTAAAAAGCGAAATATATTTCATGAAATCTCTTCATCATACAAGTGTTCCTTTCTCCATGATTTCGGTATACAGGTTGAAAAACGGAAAAATATAATTCGTTAACAGAGCTTATAAATGTCCCTGTAATTTCCTAAGAAGTGAGAGAATATTGCAAAATCTTTCACGAGAAAAATGCCTTCATTTCCTCTTAGCTGCGCCTATTATTCTACCAACTCCCTAACTCGTGGCGACTTCAGTAGCAACTACTTATACGAATTCAGACCCTGAGTTTAGCGTATTTTGATAGAAGCATCGTGAAACCAAAACAAAATCAATCACTACAGCCTTAAAAAGGGATCATTGACATGAAACAGAAGCATGTTAATACGGTTAAACTGCCCAAGGCGCTAGAAAACGCAATTGGCCAAGTTGTGATTGGTTTTTAGGTTTGTCTTTGGCTGTTTTAGAAGATGACAAGAGCGCTCCCAGTGAGCCAAAACAAAACGCCGTGAAGTAAAATCAAAACACCCTGTGCCATGGGGCGCCTTTCGATTGAGGTTGTAAAATAAAAGAACAAAGCAATCACAATAGCCAATCATAGGAAGGAAAATATCACGAGGAGCCAATGAGAACTCGAGGTAAAAACAAGCAAACTGCCTGAAGCGCGGGAAAACGCGAGTGACCAAGTCACGATTGATTTCAGTTTTGAATCTGATTGGCAGAAAAATTGGCACGAGCAAAATCAAATCAGTCTCGGATTACATTTGACACACAATTGAAAATTGCTCTAATGCTTTTGACGCTAACGAAAATTACTCTACACAAAAGTGTCTAACGTTTTACGTTCTGTCTATTAAGGTTCAAAATACTTCGGAGCATGTTATCTTGAAGTGCTCGGTGAAGTATGCAACGTCAGCTTCACTGGTGACCGGATTCTTCTTTACAGTGACTTGAATAGTATCCCACTTGCCAATATGTTCCTCGACATCCAGAGGTGTCTTCAGATGTACAGTCAGGTAAACTCTATTACCAGTCCAAACATTCTGCACCGTCTTTCTGTACTTAACTTCAATTGCTTTTGTCGACGTGTTGGAATCTTTCAGGGTCGAGTTTACCATGACATCAAATACCTCGCCTGCAGCTCCAGTGTAGTCGATCACAAAATAGAGTCGTAAGGTTTTGCCACACTCTAAAGTATCATACTGCTGTGTGTTTTGCAGCTGAAGCAAAAGGTTTTTTGCGTTTATGAATTTACGAGAGATCCTTTGGAAAGGCCGACCGGCCTTTGTTGTCCCAGACAGCTTGAGTTTGAAGGGCACTGCAGGGGGAACAAATGTACCTACCAGACTAGGTGTGGCTAGGTTGGCGTTCTGAATGACGCGTCCTGATCCATCGACGAGGGACAGTTGGAGGGATGAACGTTTTAAGCGTTTTTGTAGTGGAATTACCAGGCTTAGAGTTGACCTTTGATCTGGAATTTAAGGTGACGCAAAGCTGTAAGAATGATACGTGTATGTATTTTTAAATATATATTGTCGCCACTAACTAACCTCCTTGACGCTTGCCTGCCTTCATAACGGTGCAGCTGGTACAACTTGACGGACTGAATGTGTAGCTGCTTTCTTTTTTTTTTCTGACAGACTAACTGATTGATTGTCTACCTCTCTACCTGGCTTCTTTTACTTCTCGCCTCAACCCCAAACTGCTAGTCTTACTGTTTGTATAACGACCAAACTATCTGACGAATTGTCCAACGAAATGGCCTGCGTGGCTGACTGACTGCAGGACCTGCAGGCTGACTGGCTGTTAGTGTCAGCCTGCCTGACGCATTGACTGACTGACTGAATTATTTAGTGACTGACTGAATGAATGGCTACCTGACTAAATAATGGCGTGTTTTCCCACAGCCTCAAAGACCTACCTCGCTTACTTTATGCTCGCGTTAGTTAGTGCTCTTAGGTATAACAGTATTACTGGGAACAAGAGATAGAAAACTGTTTATCAGTGTTCTCTAGCTGTCCTAAACGCTTGCGAATTTGTAATATTTTTTCTATGTCAAATTTTAAGTCATTACAAGTTTAGTTAGGCAAAATCAGATTGTAGGGTCTATGTCGGCGGATTAACTCTGTGCATCATTTCAGCATTCACGAACACTGCCATTTAACAAAACGTTCCGCAAGTTACTTACTTAATAATGGGTAATCTATTGGATACTCGTACCACCGCCTTCCAAGCTTCTTTCTTAGAAGGAAGAAGAAATCAAATTCCAAGTTCAGCCTGCTGGTTGCTTTGACCTTGAAAGAATGCGTCCCGACCGCAGCTGGCACAAACAGCTCCCACGTCCCTAAGGTGGGGCCCTCGATCATCCACAACCCTCCCTGGGAAAGGTTTTCCGTTCGAGGTTGAGCAACCCCTTTAGGAGAGCGGAGCTCGACCAGATTGGCTCTAGCTGAGGCGAAGTATGTAACAATTAACGATTCAACAGTGTTGTCAACTGGAATTGTGTATCTTTTCTCTATATTGGAGTTGCGACGCGGAGAGGAACGTAAAGATCGTACTTCTCCCAAGCTTGATCGGCCCTCGTCGATAGTTGTTGTACCGTCCAAAGCTGCAGATACAACATTACCCATCTTCGATATCTGTCCGGAGGAATTGAACTGCAGTCCAAAGCCTCCAGTACTGTCCATGAGATCAATGAGGCTGTCGTGGTTGCGAAAGGAACCACAACGCCCAGATTCGGTACTATAGAAGAAGTTCACAGGTATCATGTACTGCAGGGCGAGGCCAATAGAGTTTTCCTGGGTGTACTTAGGCCTCTCACCGTCTTTGGCGCCAGCATCGGTGAATACGAACATGGGCGAGCCGACATAGGGGTCTCCATTCTCTATGGCGTCGATGACCCCGTTGAAAGTCAACTCAGGGCAATCCCCACCTCCCTTAGCCGTCAGCTGGTCCAGGGCTTGCACGAACGACTGTTCATCAGAAAATCTCTGTGTGTTTCCCCAGGCTGTTGAAGATGAAATTGGTTTCACAAAATAAATTAGGGGGTATGAAGGCGGTCGCTATTAAATCATAAAGTGAGTACGATTGTGCTCCGATTGGTCAAAAACCGTTATACACTTAGCTAAATTATACACGTCTTCTCTGATTGGATCTTTCTTATGCTCAAGTAGATGAAGTCACTATTATCAACCTTTCGCCTCTTAATCCTTTTACTCCCATGAGTGACCAAGACAGAATTTCTCCTCACAATATGAATACAATATCAAGCAGACAAGAGTGAGAATAAAGAAAAACATCAGTCAGTGGATTATAAGTTGATCCAATACTAAATTCTCCAAACTAACATCACAAGAACTGTATGGCAGACAGTAAGGAGAATTACTATTGAGATCTTGGGAGTTAAAGGGTTACTCATATAAAACAAAGAGATTCTATGGGATCCTAAGTCTGATCATACCCTCTGCAATTAATGCAGTTGTAATTACAACTGCAATTAAATTTACAGACGCTGCCAGCAGAAGTGTGACAAAGTAGTCCTCATTTTAGTTTATTCACACCTCAAACCTGTACACTTACTTGGATCACTGAATGGCGACAGGATAAAATCTACCGAAGAATCCCTCGGATGAGCTGCAATAGCCTTAACGATTGTCTTTGCGGCTTCAATCTCGTCACCCATACTTCCTGTTGTATCAATGACGAAAACAAGTGATACATCGCCAGTGATTCCCAGCAGAATGTCAAATTCTGTTTTGCTTAAAACTTTACGAAGCTTTTTGAAAACATTTTCATGCGATTTGTTCTTCTTTCTACAGTGGCGCGGCAGGTCTCCTTTCCGGCATTTTCCTTGCTCCGGTGGACAGTGGCACTCAAACTGTTTTGATTGAAACAACAACAACAAACAATTAAAATTTAGCTTAACGGATATTCTCGAACGATAAAGCTCGATGCTTCATGTAACGCTAATTATTTATACTTAGAAATTAGATGTCACAATTATGCTCAAATCACATCACTGTTATGCTCCATTATAATTTGAATAATTTGTAACCATGCTTGAAATGTAATACCTGGTTAATTATTTGTCACCAGCGTGGTGTTTTTCTTATTTTTTCAATTTTTTTTTTATTCATAGAAATGCAGAAATTCTTTTTTTTTATAATGCTGGATTTTTTTGCCTCACTATTATGCTGAAAATCAGGCCGGTATAATGTAGACAACTCCATGGATCATGGGTCATCAAATGAAGAACCGTATGAAATGACGGATATTTCCTAGAGGGTGGCAAAGTAATGTCCTAATCCCGTTTCATGCGCAAATTTTTAGAAAAAAAAAACATGCGTCACGTATGTAAAGGGAAACTTCAAATCACTCCACATGTATGCGACGATTCAGGGAAATCTTAAGGTTTTCCCGAAATTAAAGATTCACGGGTCACGTATATTTCAGGAGGCCAATCACGCCTCACGCTGGTTCATAAATTAACGAATCATGTAAAATTCATGCGTCACACATCAACGTTGGCGATACGTATAAACTGTTTGCTAACTTTATATATCATGAACACACACAGGTATGAACAAAGACAGGGATTAACATTTGCGGAGAAAGAACACAAGGAAACTCAAACATGCAGGAATGAACGCAAACAAGAATGAGCAAATTCGGAAATGAACGATGCAGGAAAAAAGCAGGAGTGACGAGTCGGGGCATGATGGGAACAGGATCTTCTAGTCGGAATAATTATGAGGAACGAAATGCAACAATGACAGCGTGCAATTAAACACACCACGGTCATGAGCGACATGTACAATTTTGACCTCGTCGCCTGACGAAGACTAGCAATCGAAACGTTGCGATTACCACAACTGATTAGTCTGACTCTTGCATCGTGAAACACGATTAAATACACATTTATCTCTAGAACCACGGTGAACAAAAACATTTTCTATAACACGACTGGATTGTTTTAAATGACTGAATTGTTTTGAAAATGACCATCTCACCAGGTGACCTATCATCTGTCGTGCCTTTGGGATCTCTTTGTTCTTGACAGCTTTCTTGATGGTAGAATCCAAATCCATACTTCTTCCTCTTGTCGTCACCTTTGCCTCGGCCATACCTGGCAGAAGAGAAAAATCCGAAATCGGATAAACGGAAATTTCAAAACAATATGAAAAAAAAATAGAAAAATCCGAACATTTATACTGCTTGTGACGATCGAAATACATGGTGCCCATGGACCGATTCTACTCACGCACTCCTGCTGTGTAATAACGCAATTACAAAATTACATTACATTTACACGCTGCTGATTAAAACTCTGTTGTTTTTACAAACTATTCTTAGTCCTCATTAATTGCAAATGTTTTATGCGAGAGAGAAAGAGACCTGAGAGCAACAAAAACCGCGAGCCTAAAGTCGAAGCTTTTACTAAACTAACATTTCTAAACAAGCATATTCGCGTGGGGAAATGGGAGTTTAAAGGGACGAATTCTGTTTTAGGTCATTTCTCGCAATCGCTCAGGAGACTTTGCGAAAGTTTCCGAAATCAGACTAAGCCTTGTGTCCAGTACTCTCCTAAAAGAGATCGCAAATTTAAAAAAAATATGATAATTCATATAAACTCTTCTTCTTGCATCGAGGAAATGTGGAAATGTGTCAGTGAAGGCTATTGTGCCACAAATTTTCCGCTTCAAGGCGCGAGCGATTAATTCGCAGACGAAGCTGGCGTCAGAAATAAAAAAGCGTTCTGCAAGCCTGAGAGTCAGCAGTCATAATATATTACCTGAGAGCAAAGTGTTTGAAAAATTCGTTACGAAATACAAATCGCAGAGGTGTACAACTTATCTCAGTTTGTACGATCTTACCCCTGATGATCTGCATCGATGCTTCCAAATATTTGTTATTCCTAGGCGCTGGAACTGCACCAGAACTGCTTCGATGAAGTTTAACTGTGCCATCTTTGGTTAGATACTCTGCCGTTTCTTGGTCTAAGATCGAAAAAAAATCCCCAGCGCTTTCAGAAAAATCAAGTGAAAGTACTAGGGCAACGAGCACCGTAAAGGGCAGCAAAGTTGCTTTCTTCATGGCTAGGAGGGTTAAACTACCTGTTGAAACAAGGTAGGTAAGTTGATGAAGAATAACGTCTCGTGCGCTGACGGCGGTTTTTTAATAGAGTTTGAACGGAAGTGGATGAGATTTCAGAGGTCAATTAATGTTGTCATCGATCTTCTAATGTTTGGCGACGGCATTCGCCCACGTATGGGCTGTTTGTAAGATGAACTTGAGAAGTAGAGGCATTGTGAACTCAAAAAGAATTCCAACTTAGTTTACCCAATCTTTACTCATTCATTTAACGTCACTAATGTCTCCATACATCAAAGTATTTCGCTATTTCCTCTTTTTCGAATGAGCTCATTAACCTAATCAGTCCTGTAATTTCAGTAATTACGCAAAGTGCTTCACCTCATCATAGCGGAAACTGTCACCGAAGCGTTTCTCGAAGTCAAACGGGTGTTACGTTCGGTTTCCTGTTTTTGTCTAAATCGTTCCCTTGAAACATGGTATTTCGATTCCAGTGTCGCTAAACCTATGCACCAATTTGAATTCATAAACGACAAATGACTATTTCTTTCGTATACTGTTACTCCGATTTCCATCCACTGTAATTTCCCCCTTTCTACTGCAGAGTAAGCGGAAGAAAACAACTTCCGCGGTGAGATAATTTGAGTAAGGTGAAAATTACTTTCAGCGAGAAGGAAAGCTTGAACAAAAGAAAATAATCTGGAAGAATTAAATTAATTTTCGGTGTGATAGACAATTGTCAAAAAGGAAGGGCACCAGTTGTCAAGGATGGAGCAGACTGTTACGGATTGCAATTTATGGGCTTTGAAGATTCACAGTAAATTTACGATTCACAAACTGTTACTAAACTCCTCAATTACATGAAGGATATGCTTCAGGGAACCCAATTGCTTCAAATATTAAAATCGCCTCAAAGGCCTGACAAACTGAGACATAAATTCAATCCTTCCATGAACAGGAACTGGGCGTAACAAAATAAAATTGTGTTGATTCAGAACGAACACTTTCTTCCGCATGTACCTTTGTTGTCTTGTGGTTGTTTCAGATTCTGAGAAAAACGCTTCTGGTTTCCTTTCAGCAATATCAGCAAAACTTTCATAAATTTTCATATTTAAACCTCTCTTAGGGTTTGTAGTAAAATGATTGCAAGCAGCGAAGTGGTAATGACTAGAAAAATTCAACTGTGTCCCGGCCTAGGAAGCGCTGTCGAAATTTGATTTGTTTTTATTTACAATGAGTGGGGGTGGAAGGGAAGGGGTAGAGAGGAGGGGGGGGGGGGGGGTTAGGAAGGGTATTGATTCAGCCCAAAGCACGGCCGCAACGGAAACTGCAATCCACAATCTTTCCTCCAATTTCAACACAATTCACTATTGTGTTACCAATTGAAAGGATTTTTTTTAGACAGCTGAATCATGTTTTAAAACGACGTTAATAAAACACAAACAAAAGCCCCATGGTTTTTTTCCTCTGATTTTTACCTTTTTCATTAGACTTTCGCATAAAATATAATTACCCTAGATAAATTGTTTCCTTTCAAATTTGTAAAAATATCTTAATTACAAACCGTAGCAAATCGTACTGAAAGAACAGCACGAGAGCATTCTAAACAATGGGGCGCCTATTTTACAGAAATCACGGGCCAAAACGACACATGGCAAATAAAAATGTCTCCCAGTGGAGTGTTCCCCTATAAAAACGCAACAGTACACTGTAAAGGTTATAGGAATATAGGAATTAAAAATGTAGCCGCACACCTCTGATCTACAGAGGAATTCTCTTTTCTGCTAAACCGGAATGGCCGGCCAGTTCTTATGTAAGGCGAGCGCCCTCAGTTTCTTCTTCGTCTTCTTTTCCTAATTTTGTTTTTCTTTTGCTCGTTTCAAAGCTATTTCCAGCGATGTCAGTTTAGAGAAAGTGTCTTCAACTACGATATTGAGGTTCACGGTTATTGCACGACAGACATACACACACACACACGCGCACAAAATAGATAAATAAAATAATAATAATAATAATACAAAACGAAAACAAAATACCCAAACCTAATGAGGCTAAGTATTTGTTAACCGATTTAATCCTCTTTGTCCTTAACAATCCCTCCTTCCTCTTAATATCACTGCCTTTTTGATGCGCTATCTTGTCTTTGTAATATTTTGCAACCCCTTGCATAATTGCGGTAGTTTTTTCACAGCGATAAAAAAAGGACTTCTGTCCTCTTAACAAAAGAGCCGAGCAATGCAACGGTTTATGGGACACTTGGCGAGAAAACCCGCCCAACGTAAGTTTCAGCAAATTTCGTGAAAATACCTTACGATATAGAACCATTATGTAACCTTTCAGGCTAGCAGTTTTGTGATGGTTCTTAAAAGTGAGGTCAGCGAAGCCAACAAAGCGGAGCGTCGGAGTTCATCCAAAGTTGGTTCCTCATTTACATATGCTTCTTTGGCTGACCCTGATGCAATAGTTTAAATTAATTGATACTTAAGCCCAGAAAACAGGGTTTTCTATTTTTCATAGATAAACACTGTCGTTCTCACTTATATTTTCACAAAAAGAAATTTGCTGGTATTTTCGGATGAAGACGTTCATCGGCAGACGGGTTTTTTTTTCACAAATTTTCCACTACAAATAATCCATGTTCATCCATCTTTTCCAAGAGAGGACAAATAATTGGAGATTCAACCTGTAGAAGACGTAAAATAAGGACAAACATAATTTTTCACTCGAGATGGTAAGGTAAAGCCTGCACTCAAGCCCAGTGTCTCACCCAGCCGGAGCTTAACCCGGATTCCATGGCATGAGCGACAAAGATCGTCACTACTCCCCCCTGGTTGGCATGCCAGTGTCCATCACGAGGTTACCCCTCAGCATTTAATCCGGCTTCCCCGACAATTCGCCACTATCCGTTTATACTCACGGGTGAAGAGAAACTGAGGGAGAGTCAAGTGTTTTGTCTAAGAACACAACACAATGACTCAGCCAGATCTCAAACCCAGACCTCTCGACCCAGAGTCCAACCAATAGGCCATTGCGTCTTCCACTTTACACTTGAATATAAAGGCCTGGGCCGGGTTGTTCAAAGCAAGATTAAGCTAACCGAGGGTCACCCAACAATATTTGATTCAGTCTTGTTGCTTTACAGACAGTTAAAACAATTTGTACTTTTTTTCCTCAGTTTTGTTATACACTATTGCTAAACTCTTGAAAACGTGAGCCGTTATATACCCCAAATTTAACGAGAAATACAGGTTAAATCAATTTTTTGAATCCTGGATTACCGCTAACCACCTTTTGAAAAACCGGCCCTTGGATTATAATTCGTATTAAGCGGTCACCTGAAATGAGGTTCCAGACAATTGACACCTGGCATCTTAAAAATTGAATCAGGTATTTTTTTTCCTTACGTTTATCAATCTTACCCTTAGAATATATTCACACGTGCTTGGCTCCGTTAGCGAAAGGGCAACTTCTTGAAGATGTGTGGACTCCTTGCATCTGCAACAAGTATGTGTCAAATTGTAAGATGTTGCACAATTGTCACGTTTGAGGGGGTTCCAACTCAAGCCAGTTTCGATCGCGCGGTCGATGCTACTCTTAACTACCAGACCTTGTTGCTTAGTTATACCATAAACTTAGCTGATATGTTCCAGTGTTGTCTCTCGGTCTGCCTGTCAGATCTTCAAACTAATAGTCTCTCCGTACACGTTTGTTCGTCCGCCGGCTCGTCCGTCGTTACGTCTGCTCGTCTACTCTGTTCCGAGCGTTCAGTTAGTAAAACGAAGCGCAAAAGTAAACAGTATTAGTATATACCACACAAGTGAAAATGCTTTTCGCCTGCATTGATTGGCTAATTCGGAATTGAATAGCAAGTAATATTCACTTCCAAACAGCCTACGGGACAAAATCGAGCGTCAAGCGACTAATTTACGACTACTTTTCACTATATATTTTTTCGGTATCTGTGTGGTATACACTAAGACAATTATTCATTTAAGTGTCGGTGAAAGTGGTGGATATTTCACTATTCACCTCCACTTCGGTGAATAATTATTAACTAGAGAAGCAGAGAAGTGAAAAACCGAGGGAGGTTTTGGTCGAGTCGCGTAATGAATCCCACATGACTCAGACTTTCCTCGATTTTTCACTTGCTCTTCTGCTACCATCACTCCGTTCGCTATTTCGCCCCGTGTTACTGACTGAACTCCTTGAAAAGCTGCCTTACGTCCTTCAATCGTGTCTGTCTGTCTGTCTGTCTCTTTCATCATGTGTGTTTCTATACCTATTGGTCCTTTGCGCATGATCCACTGACCCATTCACAATAACTGCTAAAAAAATTAAACCGAAAGCTCTACCGATATGCAAACCTCTTTGCTCCTTTAGGACGAAAAAAAACGCCGTAACGTCTCTATTGTCCCATCTTAAAAAGACTTACGATGCATCATACAAATGGCTCTTTGAAGGCTTTATACCTACTTTAATCTAACTACGACACTCCTTGGTTTTCCAGTTAAGTCGCAAACGTCCCCTGCACTGTAAAAATGATCGATGTACCTGAAAACAGAATATGCGACACAGCGCCAGAAATGTTTTAACCCTACAAATACGACTCCATCGTTAACTTAACGACATGTGCTAGCTTGGCTTTCTAGTTTTACGATTATAAAGATCTCCGCTGGACAGACCATTGGGTGTGACAATTCAAATGAGAGCTTTAGAGCATCAAATTCAAGCAGCGTTACCTAAAAAAAGGTCTCCCTTGCGTCCGTGACTAGTATAACCATTAAAAAACAAACAAACAAACAAAACAAAACACTAAAACAGAGAAAAAAAAACCCAAAGACAAACAAAAGTCAACAATCCAGCGGACTAACTAGTAAACTGGCTCAGCTCTCATGTACTACTAATTATGATTAGTATATACCACACGAGCGAATAGTGCTGTTAGCGCACGCGGATTGAACAGTTCGGGAGTGAGTAACAGGTATCATTCAACTCCCAGCAGCCGAAGAGACAAAATCACTGGTTTATTAAAAGAAGTACACTAATTTCGGTGCTTCCTGTGTGGTGTATTCCGTAAAAAAATAAATTAAAAAAAATAATAAAAACATTATTTCTCGCAGTGTCGGTGAAAGTGGTGGATATTTGCCTCCACTTCAGTGAATAAGTGTTATTTACTTTTGAAGATGTAACTGGTATATCTTACCCGTCACCTGCCCATTTATCTTTCTTCCAGCTGATATGAGCCTGTAATTCAAAACAGATCTTTTTACCGGTGGATATGCAAGGCATTGGAACGAGTGAAAGAGGGGAATCGATATGCAAAAGGTCGAGCCGTTAGCACAGCCTAAGGCATGCATCTTATTTAAGATGGTGAACGGATTATTAAATAGGAGTGATCAATTGGGGAGGACTCTTGTAAGGGTTACGTCTAAGTTTGTTTCAGGGTAGTACAGATATTCTATTTGCTTTTTTTTTTATTTTGCATATAATAAATTGCCCTAAATGACTGGAATGCTTAATTGGCCAATGCAAACTGTACAAGTTAAACATTTCAAGACCACAACATACATTTTCCACCCATTTTCCGAGAAGTATATTTATTCTGGGACCATTTGCCTACAAAATAAAATAAAATGAGTCATTCATCAATTCACAACGTATGTATACCTAATTGGCCTCTCCCCCAATGGGGCTTTTCAGTTCAGAGCCAATACAAACAAACTGGAACCCAACATTGCCGGCTATTTACACGAGGTTCAACCCAGAGTAAGGTTTTTATGTAAGCAACGGGCCTCAGGTATTCTTTATAAGAGGATTGATTTAATTAACTAAATGTCCTTCCAGTGTAGCCTTCGGCTCTATTGACACCGTTCACAAAAATAAATGTTCAGATAAAAGGTTCAGCTAACTTGTACACAGTTTAGAACGTAGTGTTGTTGAACAACGGCTAAAGTTTACATAAATGGTCAGACCATCGTGTATTATAAAAATCCCAACTGGCAGGAGGTAGACCATTAGGCTACATCAAGCCAAGGAGTTGAACTTGGTGCAAACGAGAACAAAATGCAATTATAAATAAGTAGCAGGATAAAAGGAATGAACCTAGAGCCATCAGATTACTGGCCTAACACCCTATCCACACGACCTCCAAAAAGGCAGAAGAAATGTTTTAAAAATGCTGCAATATCTCTCCGCTTAGTTTGTGTCAAAAACGTTCCCTACCTCTTGGTGAAACTGCGTCACTTGTTTGCCGTAACAAAACTCATATTTCCACCAGCCAGACCCTCCCTGAAAACAAACACCAAGCGAAAAACACCCTAATATCAGTGTGCATCAGTATGCACATTCTCAATACTATTCTCTGTACAGTTCCTACGGTATTAAAAGGAGAATTTGTTTCACCATGAAGAGCTTCATGAATGGGTGGTAATTTCCTATATTCTCGTGACCTTTATGTTTTGTTACGTAGTGGTAATAGAGAGAAATTAGATGCTAGTCACTCGTAATGGTGGAGGGGTTAAGGCAATCTGGGAGTGCATTGCTTTTGCTTCAAGTGGCTCTGAGTAAACAACCCGCCCCTTCCCGCAATCAGGTGCAAAACTTGTTGCGACTTGATCTCTCACATATTCCTAAGTTTAAAGTAAGTTACGTGTGTTCAATTTGACTTCTAAATGACTCGCTGTTATTTCTCAGTTCACAGGTAAATTGGGCTGTAATTTTTTTATATGAACAGACGACCAAAATTCGTCCCACACTGGACTAACACTCAAGGTCTTAAAATAATTGATGGGAATATGCTGCCTTCGCTATGACATTTGCAAAAAGGTTAGACTTTCTAGCCTTCGCGAGTACGGACGATAAGCCGTAGGCCCAGTCCCCTACATCTCTGTACTGGTTAGCAGGGGACGCTAAAGAACCCACGCACTTCTCGTAAAGAGTAGAAAACGGGACGGCCCTAATTATTAGCTCTTCAGCACGAGCGTCTCGTCACCATTGGGAAAGTACCCCAACTAGTCTCAGATCTTCCTGCGGGCGGAGAAAAGCGCGTCCTGTAACACCAATAATGAGGGCCTTCCTGTACGTATCTGCAAAGCTCACTCAGGTATGTCTGCTTTGTACTCACACCAACAAGACAGTAATCTCCACTTAGAAATGATGCAGTCAGCAGATTGTCAGGCTGGGGTAAAATTTTTCTGTGTTCATCTGCTGGCACTGGTGACTTGTCATCGTCTTCTGGAGGCTTTCAAGGAAATAAAACCAAAGAATTACGTCATTTCAGTTTAGCTGCTAAGGTAATTACGCCATATCACCTAGCGCCACGTGACTGTAATACTTGAGGAACAAATAATCATGATGGCCACGACACGAGATATTTCTCAAAGAAATATACAAACATAAAATTAGGTATAACAATAAAATAAAATAAAAAATGCTATAAATCAGGATTACTTATAATAATATAGACATGCGTATCTCTACGAAATATCTACTACGGCTTTTGAAATTTTATGAGTTTCTTTTGAAAAGGTATTAAAGTCCGGGCAGGATTTCACTGCAGCTGGGAGGGAGTTAAAAGGCTTAGCGGCACAGTCTTGAAATGTGCCTGCCTCCAGTGGTATTTTAAGGTGAATAGTTTCGCTGGAACGTAAGCATCTACCGTGTTGTACTGCTTCAAGCCTCAGATTCCTGGGCCAATGTTCATCATACAAGGCTTTGTGTGCTTCTTTAATTAAATGCCAGTCCCGACGCTCTCTCATTGGTAACCAGCCTAATTTAAATAGAGTATTCACAGACTTCATATAGTGACCCGTGACAAAGCTGGCAGCGGAAAACTGAATATGCTGAAGCAGATGTGGATGTTAACCCCGCGCAATAAAAAGGTGCCATTTTAAATAGTTTTTGGAGAAGCCGAGTTTGTTGAATTTCTTTAGCGTCGTCTTGAAACAAACCGTACCCGTACCAAAAGCCTTAGAAAAATCGGCGAGAACCATCGAGGTGACCTCTCTCCTTTTCATAGCGCGCTTTATGTCATCTCTTACTCCAAGAAGGGCAGTAGTGGTAGAGTGCTCTTTACAGAAACTGGAAATGTTATCACGAAGAAGAGAGGCGCTTTTTTGCGAGCTCCGACCCCTGCCAGCCGACCAACCTTTCGCACACCTTAGACAGCACCGGTAATATCGAGATTGGTCTTAGTTCGTTATTGGTCGTTGGGTTGTCTACCTTGGATATAAGCGACACTCTGGCGATCTTCCAAAGCTTTGGGAAGTATGCTTCAGTTATACAACCGTTAATGATCCAAGTGAGGGGGCCCGCCAAGTGGTCAGCCACTAGCTTTATGAATGTAGTTAGAATCTGATCAGCTCCCGAGGAACAATCGGACCTTAAGGTTTTAATCGCTTTGAATACCTCTTCTCTAGTAGAATTATATACATCGGGGAGATTTTCGATCAGTTCCGTCAGCTCAACGTAGGAGGTCGCATTTATGTTAAGAGTTCTTTGCGCTGTAGACGTGAAATGACCATTCAGCTCATCAGGGTTGAAACACAAAGGCTTTGGGCTAGGCTTAAGAATTCTGTGGATGACCTTCCATACTTCACTTGACTTGTTTGAGTAAAGCGCTTTCTCAATAAAAGTTTTACGGGCAGTTCGGATAGCAGCTTTCAGTTTGTTCCTTACTGATCGAAGGTAGTCCCACTTTGTATAAGAAGGGGTATTGTGGGCTTCATATCTGGCAGTGTCTCTCTCCTTTTGTAGGTCTTTAATGTTGGAACATTTCATCCAAGGCGCTGGTGGCCTAGTAACACGTCTCCTTTTTAACGGGGCGTGTCTTTCTATGCATTCTCGAATCAGGGAGTTGAGGGACTCTAATTGTTCGTCAGGATCGTCCGAATATGGGGAGCGTAGAGAAATCCTCAACAAGAGACTCCTCTTTGAAGTTTTTCATATCCCGTTTGTGTTTAAGCCACGGTTGAAAGCGGGGCAAACGGACATTGATACAAGCGTAGATGGCGTCGTGATCACTTACTATCCGTAACCTTCTGTGGGTAGTTTTTGATAAGGTGATCTATAAGAGCTTTCGCTGTCTTTGTAATTCTTGTTGGATGCGTCACCACTTGCGTTAATCCAAAGACGTAAAGGATGGTCTGGTACCTTTTTGTAAGGTAGTGGAGAGGACTAAGTATGTCGATATTGACATCGCCAGTAAGGATTAGCATGCCATCCCATGACACTGTGAGATGATCTAGCAAACTCTCGAGGCTATCTAACCAGCTAGATGGATTTAGAATACGTTCAGAATTATAAATCACGCCCACCACCGCTTTGCTGTACTTGTTTCGGCCGAGAATCTCTAACCAGAGGTGTTCCATCTCTGGACAGGAGTTCTCTGTTAGTAGTTGAGCCAGCGATCTCAGGAGTAAAACAGGTCAGTGAAAGACTTTGGACCTTGACACAAAAGGGAAAACCGCCTAATATTTGTTTCACTTGTTAAATGGGTCATAAAAAAAAAACGGAAACACCTTTTAACAAGTTATAGGAGTATTAAACAAACAAATCTCACTACGAATATTTTAAAACATTTGAAACACCTATACGCGGCAATACTCGGTGAACACTAATAACTGGCTAATTATAATCAGTTTTCTTACCAAGAATCCCTCAACACTAAATTTCTCCTCCATCAATTCAGAATAACTTCTGGGCTCACTACAAATAGAATTAAAGAACCGTAATTGATACCATTTCTAGGCCTGAGAACTTTAGCGAACACAGAGCTGGCCTAATCTTGAGAAGGAACTTGAAGGGACATTCATCTTTCTTTCCATAAACGTTACACTACTAATCAGTGATGTCATGATGAAAATCGGTGGCTACGATAGGAATTAGCACCACAAAATTTGCCTGAAAATTGAGTGCCATAAATTTTTCATTTGCCATTTGCCGTGTCATCATGTATTTTTCCTACCTTAAAAATCTGCAGCGTTGAAAATTTACCCCCGTTTGAACGGGAAGAAAATGCACAAAACTATGTCTAAGCGCAACTTCGTGACTCCCGTTTCGTTCTGCTTCCGGCAGTTTCCGTTATTTTCTACTTCGACTCTTGATTAGTTTATAATTACAGTATCCAAATACCAAAATCATGCTTATCAAAACAGCCACTCAGAGTACAGAAAAATATCAGAAGGGGCCACTAAGAACTCAAAGTAATCTGCCTGAAGGGCGGGAAAACGCGAGTTAGATTTACTTTTAAATCTCATTGGCTTAGAGAGTGGCGCGAGTGTTCTTGGCCAATCACAGAGCGGAGTTACGCAAAACTTAAGGAACACATGGATAACTTTCGAAACTCAAATAAAAATTGCTCCATTTGAGATTTTTCTGATGTACCTCCGCGATTTCTTTCTTTCGCTTTAAGATATCGAATTAAAAATTCTTCTGACTAGAGATGTTAAGAACAACGGTTACTCACTCTGGTGAACCCTCCATCGAGTGACAACTTATATGATGCACAGGCTTTTCACGATAACTGAAAAAATAAAGAGGAAATTAGAATTATATACAGCAACGACAAACATCACTTTCCACTTGCTTAAAACAGTACTGATGGAGCAGTGCCATAGTTGTATCTCAATAAAACGAGTCGGCAATATTTTGCACATATCTACAAGCAGCTGTATAATGACTTGCGCATCCAATTTGCAATCTGCGCTCGTCTTCTTGGTTCTTAACCCTTTACACCCTAACATAAGCCTTCATATTCTCCACACTAATCTCTTTACAATTACTGAGGTATTGACAAAGAGAATTTGTGATAAAATAAAAGCTTCCTAAATAGGTGATCATTTCTATTACTCCCATCACCTTTAAGCTTGATTCAAGAGTGATATTGTATGGAGAAATTAGACGCCAGCCACTCTCAAGGTCCTAGGGTTAACCATTCCCGTTTCATTCTGGTAACCTTGTACCTCTTGTGTTTTTCTTACTTCGCAAATTATAATTTTACTGATCTTGTTTCATCTTTTTATCATTTTTTTTCCTATTCAAAGCCAAAGAAGGAACAACCGAAAATTAACTGCCAATCATGGTTTAAAAATATGACAGAGCTTTGTCGGGCAAATGTTATCGTGATACAACCAAAATCCTTTCCCCCTCCCCCTCCCCTACCCCCTTGCGCGATAAATAATGACCGTTCTCTAACAATTTCAAAACTACGCTTCGAGTCTATTAGGTTATTGAGACTTTCGTGATACAGACCATCGGAGTCTCATTCGAAAGATAAAGTAGAAACAAACCTGTATGCTGGGTTGGCACAAATAAGTGGCGTGAACACTTCAACCTCATAGTGACAAGTATGGATCTCTTTGACAGAAATAATCTGATGATCGAAACAAGAACATGATTTAGTATTGTTATGTTGCGGTGCAGAACTTCCACATAAGGATTCCAGAGGTTGGACTCTATTTTTAAAGAGAGGTAAATTTCTAAAAACAACTATGGTGATGCGTCGATTAGGGGGGAGGGGAGGGTGTGTTACAAGACAATAGTCCATTTTACAGTTGTGTGCTTGGTTGCCATGCCTTTGAATAGGAGTGAGGCTAAGGGTGACCTTGTTATGATACAAACCTTGCTGCTTTTCAAATGTAAATTACTTTGTTATCATGCTAACTAGATACTGACCTTTATCACAACAAAGTCACCTTCAGCCTCACTCCAAATCAAAGGCTTCGCGACTAAGTGCCCAACTGTAAAATGGCCTAATTGGTTTTTATAACTTAGTTGATAACGTAAATTGGCCACCGTAAAGAGTTTCAAACGCTGACGTTTCGAGAGTTGGCCCTTCGTCAGAAAGAATCGAAACAACGAACGCTCGAACCGTCAGCTTTAGAGCTGAACTCTTTTCAGTAGCCAATTTACATTACCAACTCAGTTGATAAAGCAATTTTTTTTCTATTTTCAGCCTTACAATTCTTGGAGGAGAATTTTAGAAAAAACCGTGTGTTTAAAATGTTAACACAACCTGCGAACGGATCATTAGAAAATACAAACTTATCAGCTTTGGGGTGTTATCTTAATTTAACATTAACATTATTCATTCTCAAAGAGCTGTAGAGTAGCTTGAGGGGAAGGTTACAACGCAGATGACGGGAATAGAAGTTGACAGCTCTCAGAGGCGCTCTTTAACTATTCGAAAATATGTTTTGCAACACAAAATATAAACAAACGCCTCAACCACTTGCGTTCACAATTTATTTGTTCGACTTTACAAAAAAGGCATTGTTCTAAGCTTCTGAATTTCGAAAGATTACATCACTAAGTTTTTCGGTTTCGACATGAACGTGAACGAGAGAATAATACACCCGAAAAAGAAACACGTGGGATTTACTTAAACGTCAGAAAAACGCTGAAACTTAACACGGACAAACTAATGTTTTATTTGGCGATGACAAGGAGAATTTGTTTAACAATCAACAGCTTTTTTTAGTAAATGATAGTTTCCTTTACTCTCATGACCTTTATATTTGATTCAGGGGTGATATTGTAAGGAGAAATTAGATGCTAGTCATTATTTGGTGTTAAAGGGTTCAGTAAAAATTTAATCCATGTTTGGCTCAGCTTAATCGTGTATATATAGAAAAAAATTACTCAGGTCTTCCAACACAAGAACTTCTTTGAGTTGTTAATAAGGCACAAACGTATTTGTTAAAGTCTGTCGTCACATCCGGCGCTAGATCGGGATTTCACTGTTATTCACCGTAAAATTCCGACCACGTTGATTCCATCTAATTCTGTATTCAACATTACTTGACAGCGGAGTTTAACTTTCTTCCACTTTCGGATCACAAACGCTTTTAAAGTACGACCTTGCTTGAAATGACTCTATTATTCAACTTTACTCTCTCCTAAAAGCAGCAGCAGTCCTACATCTACAAGCAAATATTTTTTTTCTCTGATCGTCATCAAAGTGAAGCGGTCATCTTCTCGTTTAACGTGGTAAGTCGAACTTCTGAACGGTAAATTCAAGTAAGTAATCCCGGCGTTTACATCGGCAGCATTCAAAACATAAACGCTCGTTAGGCTGAGCAAAACTTTCAATGATAAATATTTGGCTTTAAAGTAACAGGTAGGAGGAGCACCAGTTTGTTCTTTACGAGCATAGCGAAGGAGTCAAAGTCAGGATCGCCGGATTGCGAGTAACGTATTCTTGAAGCACTCGGTTGCACGTCTCCCCAAAGGTAGGGGTTCAATGGTTGTCGAAGGTATGATAGGCGACTGTGCCATAATAGTGGCCATAAGGCGAAACCCCAGCGAGAGAGGCAGTTCGCAGGCTAAACAGACGGCGGTAGACCGCTAATAACCGACTTTTATGGAAATCTATTGCAAAGGGCGGTTTTACCGTATTGATAAACTGTAACTCACGACTCGAGTACAATAAAGTGCACCTCTTCAAAGGAAAAACTACATACGTTTAGCCAGTAGAAGTGTACAGATGTGGCCAAGATCTTAGCTCACTACTTCATTTTGACTTCATGCTGGAATTGTACCCACAATGTCAAGCTTAAAGTTCTCTTTCACTTTTAACTGCTTCAATGGCTGTATAGCATCAGTAAGTTTAACGAAAACGTTTAACGTTAATTCCTTGACGGAAGAGAACCTTAACTTTCCTTGCCTGCTTTACTGTCAACAAAACTGTAATAGATGACAGTCTAGGATTTTAAAATTTCTGAAACAACGATAATATAAAGACAATTTTGAGGTAATATAAATACGGTATAATTTTTCTGCAGTTATGGCGTACATTATGAAACCGATACCCAAAAGAAAATTGGATTGTCGTGATCTCAGTTATCCAGGTAAGAAAAACAATTCTCTCATAGTAATGTAGCATGTGCGAGAGGAGGTGAGTTGAATCAGTGAGAGAGTTGTTAATAGCAGGAAATAGAGTGAAATGTCTGGCAAGTCAACCTTTAATGTGTTTGGACGCTAGCCAGTGGACCTGGATCGAGTAAATGAAAGCGAGTCCTCCCGGAAACGTCTCAAGGAAAATTATTCGGAAAAACGCTAATAAAGTCGTTTTCCTTTGTTTTATTTTTCTTATCATTGGGTCTTTCTTTTCTCTTCTTTTCTTTCCTTTTCACGAGTTCAACTAGAAATACTTTCAATTGTGCAACTTGAAGAAGAGCAAGAGGTTTGAGGCATTTTGGAGAGATAAGTGGCATGCAGACCCAGCCCAACTTCGGCGAGCATTTCTTCCAGAAACAATTCTAAAAAATTTACATAACTTTTTACCGTATCTTTTCAGATTTCTCGCTAACAAAGAGTTACACTCTCCCATCAAAGGCCAATCGGTTGATACAAAAAAGTGGCAAAGTGACTCTGCAGCCCTCCAGAGTACCTCAGATGAAAAAGCTCACCATGAGTGATTTTTTCACGACCTTCGTCGAGGCCAATTGGTGTTTGGTGATTGGGATGTACTTGGTTGTTTTCATCTTCAGCTGGGCATTTTTCGGCACAGTTTGGTTTGCGATCTTTTGGCTCCGGTTTCGGTTCGATAGTGGGGTCACTTGCGTGGACAATGTTGATTCATGGACCTCTGCTTTCTTACTCTCTGTGGAAACGCAGACTACTATTGGTTATGGCGGTCGACAGGTATGGCGCTCTTGTTCTTCCCCTTCCTCTTTTCTGCATTTTTCATGCGAATTGAAGCAGGCGCGAGGCGAACATGAGGGGCGAGACATGCCCAAGGGGAGCAGCACTCCCCCCCCCCCCCCGCCCATCGCGTGTGTATGAACACAAAGTTTATGTCGCTGTTTACGCGCAAATTTTGCAATCCGAAAAGGAAGAAACAATTAAAAAATATATATAAAAACGACAACAACAACAACAAATATTATATCTTGCCACGATTTGGACAAATAAAATGAGAATTTTAAATAAGCGTTTCATGCGCCAATCCGAGGATCTGCCGAGGTTGAACTTAAAACTTAAGTGTCCTTTTTAAGTACTCTGATGAACCTGTTGAAACAAAAAGCGGACTGTAAGTGATGAAAAGTATCATCCCATTCAGTGTCAAAAGTGGACCAGGATTGCTTTTGTTTTGCTCATCTTCGTCCGGTATTGGTCGAAAAACCACTACAAACACACTGCATAATTCTCTTGTTGTAAAAGGTCTACAAGTCACAATCAGTCTGTACTCGAGCCTAGCGACACATCCAGTCGGAGTATAAACCAGTTTCTGAAGCATGAAGTGACTGAGAGTATCCCTGCTCCCTTCCCCCACCCCTGAAGCATGCTCACAAGGTAACTCCCCAGCATTTCATCACGATTCCGATACCCATTTATACTCCTTGGTGGAGAGAGGTACCGTGATAGTAAAACGTTTTGCCCAACAACACAACAATTTGACCCGGCCAGGGAACCATTTCTCGAAGGTCTCGGTAACTTAGCGAGCCCGTAGAGCTGTCCTGTTTTAATTCAAGATGAGGGTTTACATAGTTTTAAAATTTAAACAATAAAACTTTCTGGCCATTTTAATTAAATTGAGAATCAAGGACTTTTTCCACTCTTTACAAAATTCGTCCTACTTAATATCTGAAACAAGATATTGAGCCATGCAGTGTTGTCTCGCAAACGACAAAGTCGTGAAAAACACATTCCGCAAACAAGTGAAACTTACGCGAATAAATATATTTTTTTTAACTTTTCTCTTCTTTTCTTGTTTTACTTCAGATAACCCCTCAATGCCCTGAGGCCGTGGTCTGCCTTCTTCTCCAGTCTCTCGCTGGCTTCCTCTTAACTACGTCGCTCCTTGGCTTTTTTTTCGCAAAACTCTCCCGCGCTAATCCCAGGAGCAAAATGGTCCTGTTCTCGGAGTGTGCAGTCGTGAAGCTACACAACGACCAGTTGGCATTAATGTTTCGGGTTGCTGACGCGCGTAAGAGCCAACTGATAGACGCGACAATCTCTCTCCACTGCTTTCGCTTTAAGACCGACGAAAATGGACACGAAGTGTTGAAGTCTCAAAGAAAAATTCCGATCACTATCGAGCATGAACAGGAGAGCGACGAGCTCATCAAGCCGTTTCTGCTGATACCTCTGACAGTAGTGCATGTCATTGACAAGCAAAGTCCGCTGTACAAAATTGGGCCTCAACAGCTGGCGAATTCCCGGATGGAATTCATCGTTGTGTTAGAAGGTGTAGTGGAATCAACAGGTAGTGTTATCCAGGCTAAAACTTCTTACTTGGCGGATGAAATTCTTTGGGGTCAGAAGTTTTGCAACATTTCCCTCTACGACGCGATGAAGACGGACTTATCGTCCTTTGACAAAACAACACCAAAGCCAACACCTGAAATGTCTGCTGAGGAATACGAACAATCGAAACGAACACAAACAGAAGTTCAGGAAGACGAGACCGTGACATCAGATAGTGAAGAGAAGACTACTGAAAATGGCGCTTGCAAAATCTACATTGAACCAAATACAGCATCGTCTACTCAGAGATTCTACAATTGTTGCAAAACTAAATGCAATTGCGTAACCGTTTAAAGTTATAATATATGTTCCGATGTCCTTTATTCTATACTAACCAAAATTTAAAAAAAAAAAACTTTTTTAAGCACATGTGGTTTTGTTGAGGACAGGCAGCCATGGCAAAGATCACAAGGTACCAAGCCGTTAATTTACAAAAAAATAAAAGATAGAAAAATTAAAAAAGGTTCCAACGCGCACATTGACATGCCACGAACTGCGATAAACAATAAATAAAATAATAAAAAGAGCCACGAAGATCCATCGGGACAATAAACAAGCACCAAGTAATCGGTTCCAAAGAAAAGTGTGCGTTGATAAATACAACATGATAATTCGCCCACGTGACAACTTTTGAAAAAGAGTCCTAATTTGTTAATAAAGTTTAGGGAAAAAAACAAATTTTTGGAACTGAAACAGAGCACCCATAGTTTTCTGTTTCCTACTTCCTTCGGTATTTTATCCCTCTATTTATTTTCTTTGTTCTACAATTACGGTCATTTTCAGTCCTAAACCCAAGCTATTTTCAGCTTACAGCTACGCTGAACCAAGAAAACCATTTCACATCAGTTTTCGAGTAAACGTCATCATGGTCTGTGATTGGCCTTGACAACTCGCGTCATCCTCTCAGCCAATCAGATGTAAATAAAACTACAAGTTGTCGCGACTTGGTCACCCGCGTTTTCCCGCGCTTCGGGCAATCACTTTTCGTGTTTATCTATCATTGGCCCCTTCTGCTATTTTGCTTCGTTCTCATTCAGGAACATGGGTTCCAATTTACAATCGCAATTCATTTTCATCAACTGTAAAACTAATCGTAATTAATGATAATAATAACAAGAACCTAAGACACTAAATTGCGTTTACCGGAAAAAAAGGAAGAAAAGTCGTTTTCAAATGCATCTAGCGTAGTATGGACAAATTTGCCTCAATGTCTTACCTCGTTACTTGACCTCGGTGCACACATGTAAATTATATTTGTTGTTCGGGGTTTATTGCCGAGCAGATCACAAGCGGTGCCATTATCCATGACCACTTTGTAGTAAGGAAAGACTTGACCATTGATCTTGCGAGTTGGAATCTGGCAATAGTGGTAAAAAAGTAGATCAATCAGTGGCTGAGTAGTATGATCAGTTCGTCCATTACGAGGTCATTGTTGACGCTAGTGAGATAGTTCGCCATTGGCATCAGAGAGTTCCCTGATCTAAACAGCCTTACTAACTAAAGTAAAACAGTGAGATCCACAGAACGTGACAGATCAGGCCCCAGCTGCCTTGGTTGGTTCACGCTATCCACTGGACAAATCTCTTTCTGGCGGAAAGCGCAGTACATTTTGTTAACACTTATCCGCTGGATAAGAAATTCGAGAAGCCTTGAGAAATTGCGATAAGATTTCTTTACGAGAAAGACAAACCCTCTGAGATTTGCCACTCTGCCAGCGTGTGACTTCGTAGTTCGGTTGGTTGTAGCGCTCAACTAATATCGAGGAGGCACGGGTTCGAATTCCGTCGAAGTCTGGATTTTTTCAGGCTTCTTTTCTGCAACTTCTAAAATTGCAGTCCACCTGAGAGGAGTATTTCTTCGCTCGAATTTCATTCAAAGGTGAAATGAAACTGATTTTATTAAGAAATTGTGACAATGCACTTATTTTAGCTATCCACACTTAAATTGAGCATGAAAGCAAACCTCAACTAGTTGCTTTAGTATGGCACAATTCTAACTTACAATCTTGCTAGGATCTTCTGCTTCCATAGGAGGCGAATCTAAAGGTTTGGGATCACCTAAAAGACAAGCATCCAACATTATTTTCAATCCAACAGATGAACATATAAACACAAAACTCATACTCAAGAACAGAAGTCAGTGTCAGACTGACGTTTCGAGCGTTAGCCCTTCGTCAGCTCGAAACGTCAGCCTATTCACTCTTTGCGGTGGCCCATTTACGTTTTCAACTCAGTTATTAACACTAAATTACTTGCTATACTCTCCCACCGACGCAGCACCACAGTTTTTTAAAAAACTTACCCCCTTTATTCAGAAGTCAGAGTAAGTCAAAACAATTGAACAAAAGCGACAGTTCTGAGCCAGGCGAACACCACAATACCAAATCAAGCTATGGGTTTGTATGGAAAACATAGTTTACATTGGGGGATGGGGTGGGAAAGGGAGGGGAGGGAGGGGAGGAAGGGTTAAAAAAACAGGTTCACCTGTTTGTTCCTACCCTAACACAAACAAACTAATTTGAGATAACAAAATAAAATGAGGCAGTCCACATTATGCCATACTGAAGATTCCCAAAGCCTTGCTTTTAACCCTTTAACTCCCATGATGTAATAGTTAATTCTCCCCTCTTGCTGAGACACTCTTCATTTTACAACAGTTTGGTGTTAGATCAAGATAGCAACTTGTACAAGTCTGATAAGTTAATGATATTCTCATTATCTGTTTGCTGGATAATGGCTGGATAATGTTGGGAGAAGTAACATGTTAATCACTTCTGGTGGTCAGTTAAGGGTTAAATCAACCAAACTCACAAGAAAAGGTTTGCATTTAGCTTGAATTTTAAGATGAGGATCTTAGGGACTCACTCATGGCCAATTTACTGGGATAAAATAATTACATCCACACATGTTTGTACCTGAGGACTTCTTGTCTAAGATCTTGGGTTCAAGTTTTCCTAAGTAATACTCCTGCGCTTTTGAATCCTAAAAAGTAAAGTGCTCTAGGTCATGCATACAGTACAAAGAAAACCATGCAATACATGACAGGTAGATGGAAAAAGAATAACAGTCAGCCTTCCTCTTGGCTGGGTTTCTATGAGATTGTCCTCTTTGACCCCTAAGAGTTCTAATTTCTCCTCACAATATCACCCCTTAATCAAACATCAAGGTCAGGAGAATAAAGGAAATGATCACCAAATAAAGAGGCTCTTGATTGTTAAACATATTATCTTGGTCAGTAACTGAGAAAATGCAAAGAGACCAGAATGGAGAAATGCATACTCATGATAAGGTATAGAAAGTTAAGGTGCATTTTAAGCATGACCATTCAGAAATAAAACTTGGAAGAGTCCATTATCATAATGAAATCAACTTAGTGACCTGGCATTACGAGCCTTACATCAAAAATAGTAGGAATGACATTGGCACTGGTCATTGAAAAAAAAATTCATCATTTGAAGCAAGAATGCCATTTGGGTGGGTCTTATTTATGAAAACAGATTGCTTGGATGAGATGGAAAAAAAGGAAGCCTTGGTTGCTTCATAAACGAGGAGTCAGAAAGCTGAGCAAAATTAAAATGATAGTAACAGCAGCCAAAATTTTTAGCGCACTTGAAGAGAAAATTTCCAACAGATAAGGCTACTCCTTAGAATCTCAAAATGCAGCCCATCAGAATTTCATTATGGTATTAAATGGCAGAAATGAAAACTAATTATATTCATGATTTCAAAAGCATACTTCTCTCTCAAAAATAATCATTGAGAATGTCTACATAAACTAATGTCTATTTAAACTAAGAAAATGTTTAAAAATTTTCTATCAGAAAGAAAGACTTTACAAACCTGTACACCAGCTTTAAGCTCATGGAACTGTTTGACATGTCTTCCATGACAGAGTTCATATGTCCAATATGAATCTAACTACAAAGCAGAAGCAAAAAACAACAAAACAAAAACAAAAACAAATCAAAACAAAAATCATTAGAAGCAGGGCCTAAAGTTAAAAAAAAATCTTTATTTCCTTTTGGAACCTTGGTGGCAGGAAATGATTGCCAACAGTAAAATTTTAGCCTCAAATTTAATCCTGTAACTCTTATGAGTGATGCACACCATTGTACATGAGAAGTTACTCAAACTTATAACTTATTTACCTGACAGGTAGAAGTTGTTATCATGATCTATGAACAAATTCTATGTACTAATTGACAAGGTAATGTGTAACAGCTAGAGGGCAGAACTCACCCTGTATGAGCACTCTCCTCTCCTTAGAAGAGACTCCAAAAGTATCTCTGGATCTGGTTCATTGTACAAATGTTTTTTCTACAAATAATGCAAATTAAAAAGTCAACATATGGTTTGGCTGAATCTCCTGCAGAGAAGCTCACTCTTTGAATAATTTAACCCTGTGACCCCTAAGAGTGATCAGCATGAAATTTCTCCTTACAGTCTCATCCTTGAATCACAAATTAAGGTCATGAGAATGAAGGAAACAATTGCCAACTAGAGAAACTCTTGATTGTTAAACAAATTCTCCTTGTCAACACCTTAGGAAATGTATAAAGAACAGTATGGAGAATATGCATACTGATGTTAGGGTGTAAAGTGTTAATAACCATTATTTAGCTCTATGTCAAAGAAAATGACTCTTAAAAAATCATTTTAGAAACCCTTTTACTAAGGTCAATTTACATTATCAACCCAGTTGATAAAACCAAATTCTCTTCAGTATAATCACATCATGTGGTTCAGAAATTAGCAACAGGTAGTCCAATGTTAAATCAACTTACCTCATTAAGTGTTTCATCTTTGGGTAGTATACATCTGTATTTTTCATTATCCTTTGTTATCATTACCACTGACTCTCTACTGCTTAAGAATTCCTCACCATTCTGAAAGCAATGAGATATTCCTTCAATTAATTTTTCATTCATTCAAACAATTATGCAGGGCTCGAAATTAGCACTCGCAAACTCACGAAATGCGAGTGGTTTTTCGAAGTTGCAAGTCTAAAAAATATCCTCTGGCAAACATTTGCTAGTTAGGTTCCTTCTTTTGCTAGTAAAAAAAATCTTACTAGCAAAACTTTGCTAGTAGACAAAAAAGTTAAGTTTGAGCCCTGTTATGAGCCAGCTATTTAAACAAAGTATAGCCATTGCTTAACAAAACCACATTCTTAACTATCTTGAATTTAGCTGAACCTTTAATCTGAACATTTCTTTTTGTGACTAGTTTCAAGAGGGCCAAAAGCTAAGAGTGGAAGGAACATGACTATTTCATTAAATCAACCCTCTCATAAAGAATACCTGCAGCCCAGTGCTTGTGTAAAATGGCAGTTTAGGTGAGACCTCATTTAACTATCTATGTCATTATTTTCACTTAGCAAAAAGTAATATGTTTGAACTCTCCTTTAACGACAATAATCAGTCAAATAGACTGCCTGTGGTACCTCTTATCCCTGTGTCAGTAATAAATTGTGGAAAATTACACAGGTAAAAGGATTGCTCGACCAGTTTGAAAAATTTCTTTCACCTGATTCATGCATGCGAAATTTTCCTGTGTACCTGTGATGATGTTTTTGATCCACAGGAATGTTGTGCATGCCCAATGCATGTGGCGTGGAAGGCAAAGCAGTGTTCAGTACAAGAAAAAACTGGCTCATTTCATAAGTGTCCAGGCAAGATTGTTGCTATGCCTTGGCTGCCATTTAGCTCAGAATATGAGCTTGGGGAGTATGAGAATGTTTAAACTGGCACATGGAAAGAAATATTGATAAACTGGCTCATTTCATGAGTGTATAAGCAAGATTGTTGCTAAGCCATGGCTGCCGCCTAAATTGACTGAACGAAAAAGCAGCAATCTCCAGCTTGATTTTTGCCAGTGATTGCTCGGTAAAGCATAACAATAGAAGCTGCAAAGTTCCTTCTTTAAGCTGCCTCATTTGAAATATTAGCCAGCAGCCCCATTTCCTATCTACAGTCCTGGTACATGGTATCTTACAGCCACAGAGACAATGTTAAATTTCTTCCTACTGATGTGATGATTGGCAAACCCCATTAAAACATTTCAATGCATGTATTTGTTCAACCATACCATAGATTTTAGTTTAAATCCAATTGACATTGGTTGATATCAGAAAATTTATCTTCAATTTTACTGTTGATTTTATGAATTGTAGATAGATTAAATACTTGTATATAAATTTGATAATCAATGTATCGAAGAATATCTTTTACTACAAACAAATACACAATGGGACATGACAACATTTTCCAATCTGTGTATTTCAAGCTCAGAATAAGAATTTTTGGGACAATTTTGAATGCGTCGTTTGGAAGATTCTTCCTGACTTTTGGCAGTTCTTCGCTTCCATCTAATTATTTGACGCAATTTGATGCCAAAGACTATCTCCTAGGATTTACAAAATGATAAAAGATTCCATTCATAACGTTTCTGTGCCGGTAGGATATTATTTAAGCTCAGATCCAAAGCTTAAAAAATATACAGAACACCGTTTCCATCTGATATTCTAAAACTTAGGCTCTTTCGGTAAATATTTCTAACTGTTCAATGAACTAGGCCGGAACTGTTGCTTACAGGAATTCATTTCATGATCTTGACAAAAGGTAGCAGATTTTGTGGCAAATATTACAAAACAGTTGCTCAATTGTTATACAGAACAAGCGATTTACAGTAGTGAGCATTTATCATGCCAACTCACCGTTGTCACTTGTCCTTCTCGCAACGATACCGGTCCACCCCAATTAATATCATATTGCCCCTCGTCAAAAGGATTAAAACATCTAACGCAGATAAAAAGAAAAACTAAAGAAATTACTGATGTTTGAGTTCGTTGCCGCATATTGCTACACTCATCAGACCGACGAAGCAATGTTTTGAAGCAACGTGTCGGCCGAGCGATACATTGGTGCCCAGTCCTCTTCTGGTCCCATTCCCATCTCATTTGTTCATTCCATTCGTAAAATTTCACTTTCGTTCCTGACAGATCAAGGAAACCTAGAGCCGTGTAAATCTTTAAAAATCTTATACTCTCTCTGTTCTAGACAAGTTCAAAGAACTGGGATCACTACTGAATAACAAAAAAAATATTATATGGTGCACATATCCCTCTGGAAAGAGGGATCTACACACTCTTCAAATTATGGAAAGCCTTTTTGGGGGTGAATTGAAGTATAACCGGCGAAGCTGGTGTATTTTGGGGGGTTTTCAATAACGCGTGTGAAATAAAAGTAACCTGAGCGGGAAAATTTTTTCTTGAGGCTCAGTCAAATGCACTCAACATTTCAACCCATTATCCTGCCACAATGATTCGCGCAGCGTGTTATGCGCGACATGCGCTTGACCTCCCGTTTGCAAACTGTTGCGAGATGTTTGAAAATGCTAAAATATCATTTTTGTAGCAATATTTACAACACGATCCAACAAGGCTGCAACATGCCGCGTTGAAATATTGCGTACGTTTGACTGGGCCTTAAAACAGGCTTGTTGATCAATTCATATCCATATCAACAAAAATGTTTTCCTCGCATTAATAACAACGCACTCGAATGTACTCGAACATCAAAAGAGAAGCTGTAATTTTTTTTATATTTGCAAATTGTGAGCCAATTTCTCCTATCGAAACAGACGATGTAAAGCATTTTGAACATTTTTCCTGTTTACGGTGGACTTTTCCTTGTTATCATTTTCTGAAAAATGATACTTATTAAACTTCAAGCGATACCTTTGAATGATGCGGTGCGTCATCGAATAAATGGACTACTATGTTAGAAGTAATGTTTACTGACGTCACGGAGATGTGTTCACATTCAACCGACTTATCAGCAGGTGGTTGGGAATTTGAGCCCGTGTGCTTTAGTCAGCGACATCCATTAGGCCACATTTTTAAATTAAAGATACCTTGTTTTGAAATAAATTACTTAACATAAAAAACGAATTAGTCACGGGTAATCTCAAGAATCTTCCCTTTCCAATGATCAGATTTAGGTTTATGCAACATTAAGGTAAATTTTGCTCCCCTTGTCGGTTGTTAGCAAAAGCGGAACTATTTTTATGCTAAATGTAGTTAGTGATGACGCCCTACTGAACAGTTTCTTACAGAGTTTATGCGGGGTGCCTGAGGGCTTCACACAACAATTGTCATCATTCCATGTGATACAGATCTAACAGGAACATCTTTTCTTGATGACCTAAATAGGTGTTTTGTTTACGAACTCGACCAGGCGCAAACTCGGCCATCATGCATGATTACAGATTTTGATGGATAACAAAGTGTGCACAAGAGTCGCGAAAGTTCACTCAATGATCAAGGTATTATAAAGCAAATAACTTATATCTACTCTATTAGATTAATCTACAATGGGGCTGGGTTAGGTAGTATTTTTAACTTCCATAAAACACAAATTCTATGAAGTCAAAATTTTACCTCAGTGAGGTTGGTTCAAGCACGTCGTTTTGACGTCAAAAAAAAAAATAAATAAATAAACTTCGCCTCGGGTAACTTATGTTTTACTCTAGTTGGAAAATATTCTTATTCCGAGTAAATGCTTTCATAAAGAGGGCAAGTTACTAGAGAAACTGTGGTGCTGCGTCGGTGGGAGAATATAACAGGGTAATTTAGTAAATTGGCCACCGTAAAAATTTTCAAAGCTGACGTTTCGAGCATTAAACCTTCGATTCATCGCTCTGACGAAGGGCTAACACCCGAAACGTCAGCTTGAAACTCTTTACGGAATGCTTTCAAAGGTGCGTTAAAAAGGCCGGTATCTGACGGTAATATGTTCCATTTTTACTGTTAGCGTAGAGGTCGTCTGGATATAGGAGTTGATATGACACGTGTCATGCAGCAAAATTACAATATTTCTCATATCAAGTGTGAACATTTTTCCCCTATTATTCTGGCAAGACAAAACGAAACGGGACCGTGCGAAATGCGTCTCTCTCCTTGCAGAGATAGGTAAATGTCTTAGGTGTGTTCTGCTGTAACTGTAATGAGAAATATTGTATTGAATAAATTATTTAGAATGTTCTAGCCAGTAATAAGCATAGGCTCATCGTACGTGTTTTCTTTCACTCATGATAAACTCTTAATGTTTCAATTGTTTATCTAGCTAGGATGGCTTAGGTCATACGAAAGTGGAACTGCTTAACGAAAAAGCGATAACTTGAAGAAAGTTGCGAGAAATTATACTGCTTCGCGACAGAACGAAAATAATTCTTACTCTCGGTCATTAACGGCCATTTAAAAAACCACTCGTTACTCATAAACAATATATCTTATTTTCGAATGCTTTACGGATGAAAAAAATGGTACGTAAGTAGAAAAGCACATATCATGAGGAATTTAAGTCGGGATGAGTTCTAAGCCTGGTGTGACCATTTTTCTGTACGGTCATTCTATATTTGTTTCATATGTTCATGGCTAATCCAGGCTCACAAACAGTTAATTTTGAATAATTGATTAAAATTTCCAGTCGATTACCCTTTTAGAATGGATAATTTGGCCGTGTCCTGCTTGCGACCAGCCTTTGTCTCAACTGTAAATATAAATACGCGTCAATTCATTTAGTGGTTAACAGCTCGAACAACTTTTATGATTCACGGTTCAAATAAGCAATTTAAGGTGACTAACAGTTCAAAATAGTTGTTTGAACTTCTTGGAATGGTCAAAGCTGTAAGCATTGATTGACTTTCAGGTTCCTTTTGTTTGTCAGTCATAATAACTTCGGTACGAAGAAAAGATCAATTAACATCGCCTAAGATTAAACAAAAACCGTAGGACGTATGCCGTAAAAACATAATTTCATTACGAGAAGCCTTTAACATCCATGTTCAGAAGACGGCTCGCCCTGGGTTCGGAATCGAAAGGTGTACATATATTTTCCACTATCGTTTACCCAACGAAACATCGTGAAATCTCAGTCTACCTTGACATTCTTTCGTCTTTTGAGAACATTTTTTGGGTAAGTATAAAAAAGTTGAAAATTTTTCGGGGGTTTGTGTTGAGACAAGTAAGGAAATGATTCCTTCTATCATCTAATTTAACCCCAACAATGGGTTTCGAATGGGGTAACGCGTTGTAGGTCGCTAGCAGTTACCTTACAGAACTTCATAAAAGTTCTGTGTAGCCCCAGTGGCTAAGTTGCTTGACGGCTGGAGACACCCTCGAGCACTACTGCACATATAGCGCCAAAGACAGTTGGAGAAAAAAATTGTATACACAACTTTAGAATTATTGCCAAATATTTGTCCGTGAAAAAGCAAACAATAACTCCGAGCTGTTGCCGAAACAATACTCTTTTCTTTTAATTTCGCAGGTTTGTCCCTTATCTATCCCTTGATTGCGTTTTACTTTGTCAATTTAATTAGCACATATTCTCTATCAAGCGCTGTTACATTTCAGTCTTACACAGCTTTGTACTGAAAGCCGAAGCTCCTCAGAAATCTAACTGCCAAGTGATTGTTTTCGTTACAGAACGGTCAACTAATGTCGAGCAACTGATTTGTTTTTGGGTCGTGGCGTACCTGATTGGCAGACGTTACGTTCTCATCTTTCTGATAACCATGTTCTTGTTTACAAGACTTCAACTTATTTCAGCATGGCTGATTGTGCAAGCAACGACAAGTTTAGAACGTCAAGTAACTTACACCGAGCATCCAACAACAACCGCACATCAAGTTTTTACAGCTCTGCAATCCTACTCAACTGTATCAAAGGCATTGGACGCGTCTATGAAGGAACCAGTAACGGCTCGATCTCCAGATGTAGCTTCACAGGTAGACCAGCAACGGCGATATCAACCAGCAATACTTGTGGTCGATACAAGTAACACAACTGTGGCTACACACAATCAGACTGCATCTCTAGAAACGTTTAATGTTGCGTCTGAAAACAGCTCCACCGGAAAACAACAGCTAGTAAGTTTACAGTCTCACAAGAGTTCTAAAGAGCAGCCTGCATCAGCGTCCTTAGATAGTCCCAGTGGACAATCAAGAAAAGAAGCAGATCAAGAAACGTCAATTTTAAGAGCGACAGAACAGAAGACAACGGTCGTACCTGATATGTATTTGGCCCCTAGAATACAACCAACAACTTTATTGACTCTTAAAAATACAACTCAGTTACAAACAACAGTTTCATCCTACGCTATTGCGACCAATACAGCGGTGAATTCTACCACTGAGCATGTTCAAGACGACGACACTCCAAGGCTGATATCCCTAATACAACAGGCACATGCAATCCTGGATCATCAAAATATAAATAGTTTGCCAAAGAATAGCTCCTATGAAGAGCAGATACCTACGCCTTCAAGCACCGCTGAAGAGCAAGAAACGGCTGTGCCTAACGCGCTTTCAACTCCACAATATCAAACGACAAATCCAGTTTCACACAACAGTTACGCTGAAAAATTATTAACATCAGTTTTTGGAACATCAACAACCTTGGCATCAGTACACCGAACTAAGCAGCAGACAACAACAGAAGCACAACCACAGTTCCAAGTAGATTTCCAACCGGTCCCCTTACCAGCTGTTATCCTTCGAGCACCAGAGCCAATAACAACTGAGGGTTCTGTTGTTAATTCCGTTGAAGAACATAAATCTATTCATTCGAGCACTGCTGAAGTGCAAGCAACTTCTGTGACTAACGTACATCCAACTCCACAATATCAAACGACGAATATAGTACAATCATTACCTTTACATCCTCGAAACAGTTATACAGAGCAGTCAAAGATGTTTGAATCTCAGCTGAATCCATCTCCACAGATTGCGTCTTTGATTGCTGGTGAGCCATTATCGTCAGTGGACCAGGTAAATTTAACCCAGGAACAACTAAATATCACATCCTATGGGCAACCAAGGCCAACAACTAGTACACCTCATGAAGTTTCCTTTAACAAAATCTCATCTTTGTTACCCCAAAATACTTCCATTGGGCAGAAAATATCATCATTGGACCAGCCAGCCACATCCTTGAGACATCAAAACACCATTTCTCTAGCTCAAAATAAGTCCTTTGAACAAACCAAAACCCTTACATCCTTCAACGGTTACCCTTTAGAGCTTCATTCCTCTATATCTCAAAACATTTACCCTAGTCGCCCATTATCACCAGTGGTGCAGCTACATTCAACTCTGGAACAAAAAAATAGCACTTCTCTGGTTCAAAATAGTACCCAGTACGGCAAGCCAATAACCGTTACTCCACTCAAAGGTTCTTCTGCCAATCTTCCATCTTTGACACTTCAAAACAATTCAACTACTCAGCCATCATCGGTAGTGGATCAGGTGACTTCAGCACAGGAACAACGCAATAACACCTCTCTCACTCAAACTAAATACCATGGGCAATCAGTGACAGTTAAACCCTACGAAAGTACCCTTGCCAAGGTTCAGACCATGGTTTCTTCAAACAGTTCCTCTCTACAACCATTATTATCAGTGGAAAAGCTAACTTTACCTATACAAAAACAAAATTTCACATTTATGGTTCAAAATGGTTCCAATGGACAGCCAACAACTGTTTCATCTCATTATACTTCCTCTGCCCAACTTTCTTCAAGGAAACGTCAAAACAGCATTTTGGAACAGACAAATGAACCTTACGTAAACTCAACTCCAAAACTACAACCACTGCCTTCACTGTTTCAAAATGATTCTGCTGAACAGTTAGCAACAACTTCAACTAAGCCGTATTCTACTATAAAGTTAGCATCTTTGATTACAAAAGATAATTACACTGAGCAGCCACTATCCATTATGCACCAGGGAAATACAACTTATGAGCAGCAACCTACAGCGCTGATATATGGTGGAAAACCAACAACCGATTTATTTGACGTTGGCTCAAAGGTACAAAATGCAACTCTGATACCTTACAATGGCAATACTGAACATATTTCAACTTCTGCGTCTCGGCAAAATCTTTCGATCAAACTTTATTCGTTGATTCTCCAAAGCAATTCCGCTGAACAACCGTCACCACCTGTTCATCAAACAAAATTAGCTGAGAAATCCCTTTCTCAGGACAGTCCTTTTGGCTTGAAGCCAACATCTGCCGAATCTCAAGCGAACTCCTTTGTGCAACTGACAATTTTTATTCCTCAAAACAATTCCATTCCCATTGAAATACCACCATCAGCCCTTCATCAGACAAAGTTAGCCGTGGAGCAGAAAGTCACAACTGCATTGCAACCAACAAATCTTGTCTCCCAAAAATATTCTGCGGAACAGTCGATGACGGTGTCAGCTTCTATACAATCAAATTCCCTGCGAACAACGTTGGCTCATAAACACACTGTTGAGCAAAATTCATCAGTTATCCATCAAGATAATTCGACGATACTAAGATCGCCAAATAAGAACTCTTCTTGGCTTTTTGCCTCACCTGTACTTGTTGTAAATTCCACCCTTCAGCAAAAGTTTACGTCAACGTCCACAATTGACGACGAGTCTACTCCGAAACCTTTTACTTTACTGCCTGAAATCAGTTCTTCAGAGCACAAATTTAAAAGGACAAAATTTAGCGTTCATTCATCTTTACAAGAGAAAAATTCAACCAGCTTCACTGTCCAAACAACAGCAGCTTCAAGTCAATTTTACTCAACTCAACAATCAACAGCAATTATATTGCCACTGTTACGAAAAGGTAAGAAGTTGCTAAAACAAAGAGAAAGAAAAAAATATTGAATAATATGCTTAGGAAGAAGTATTTTTTTATCGTGGTGGATCACTCTTGTTCCAACAAACTTTAAAAGAACCTAGTCAATGCAGGGAAGCGGAAGCGCTCGCCTGGGGAAGAAAAACTCTAAACTCCTTTGAATTCATGCCTCCCAGACCATGAAACTTAACTTCTGTCAGGAGCGATCCACTCAGCTTACTCATGACTTTTTGCCCTTGTCCAAGCTTTTTAGTTCTTCTAGAAGTAATATTTCAGTTAACGATTTATTAAATGAGTATAATTTTCTATTTTCCTTTAGTGACAACTTTGCGATTTGTCTTTTTGTTGAAAAACGTTGATTTTGACTTTGACCTTTTCGACGACTCCTCTGCAACCTATGAAAGTTTAGAGGCAAACGTAACAAATGAGGTAAGACAAGATTGGTTTCTTGAAGAGGATAGGACAACCTCAGTCAGATTGCTCTATGAAGCTCATAAATTAGCTCATCCTTAACTGACACTTGAAGTAAGAGCATTCTTAAAGCGTGTGTTCGAAATACAGGGATCAGCTCTACTTTGGGTGGTCAATGTGTTCTGTATTTTGTTTTATTTTGAGTAACTCAACATACTCTGACTTACGTAAATAATCCAAGCGGATTGCTCAACAGAAGATCAAAATGACTCAAAAGTCGCTTTGACGTAAAGAAATATCAACTTTTAGGAAGATTGCATCCTGCGTTATTAAACTTTGTATCGAAAAGACATTTTTATTTTCATGTCACTTGAATTGCTTCAGTTATCAGATCTAGCTGATCTTCAACAGAAAGTGGTTCGACCTTGCAAGTATAAACAAGAATCGAAACATCAATCCCCTGATTTTTCGCTGTGGAAACAATCGAAACCGCTACGCTTCCGTGACGGAAGCTGCGCAGTTTCGATTGTTTTCCTGTCATACCGTCTGAAATATGCGCACGCATTTTCTGCGCAGTCCCCTGGGCCATCAGAACTTGTTGTGTCAGTTCATATCATAAAAGGAAAACTCCGAGAAAAAGTACGCGGTATGCGTACGACAGAGCCACGATTTTACATATGTTCATTTCTACCGTGATGTTTTTACAGATTTTATCACGTCTTGGGTCACATGGTGTCACGACCTTCAAGATTCTCTCTATGAAGTAAGAGCAGCTGCCTTTCTTGCATGTATCTATATTGAGACCAGAAGTTTTTCAGAGTGGAATGTTTCGAATATGTGACGTAATTATCATGTTTGGTGTTGGCTTTTTCGTTAAAAAATATTCGCAGTCTCAGGGGGAATAAGTGACATACTCTGCTTTATATTGAACAGTTTAAGCTTCAGAGTAACAGCTGATGGTTTAAAGCTGTGGTCTGGATGAAAGTAAATCTGTAATACTCAAAACCCTAATATCAGTATGCATATTCTCCAAACTGTTCTCTATCACGAGCTTCTTCACTCGGTAATCATTTCCTTTATTCTCGTAACCTGAATGTTTGATTCAGGGTTCACTCTTAAGGGTAAAATTTTTAAAAAGACTGTCGATGATTAAATTCATTTATGTTTTGAAACTTGAGCACAAGTCATTACCATAATTGAGTGTCTTGGAAGTGGCTCGAAGAAACTGATTAGTCAATTTGCCAATACGCTGTTAGTCGAAAGCTTCATATTCCATTCTGTTTCCTTGATCTAACAGACCCGGAAGCGTGGAAGTAACCGCGGTCTTAATTCTTGAAAATGAATACGACACACCAAAGGTTCAAGAACAATTAAACAAGTTAAACAAGACCAGTAAATTGGGGAAGATAACTTGGACTGCGCTTTACTGGGGTGTGGAAGGTACGTCACTAATTTCTTTAATGCAGTGATGTGTCAATGAGGATGTCAACGCTAGCCTAGGTCAATGCTAATGCAACTATGCATTACTGATGTTGTCGAGTCGTTCCTTTGTGGAGGGATTCTGAAGAGTCTCTAGAAAGGATTCGATGACACGGTTATCCCAATCTGGAGCCTGTTTTAAACAAAAGCATGCCGTTTTCCACACCTACTTTTAGAACCTGCCTCTAAAACCCCTTCTATTTTGGAGACCTGACACCAATGCTGAGTCAAATTTGGCGAAGTTCAACCGTTAACTCAATGATCTATTTTCGTTCACTTGAGAACCAAACGATTTAAGACCAAAGTAGTCACAATGGCTAAAATCTCTGCACTGAACCCGTTTCCGGGCAAAAGACGACGCAAAGACCAGACATTACTGGGCAGCTCATTCCAGCATAGATTCTGTAAAGGAGCACCCCCAATCACTCAGAGATGTTTTTGTGAAGTGTTGTTTGCTGTTACAATTTAAACTGCCCGTAACCTTGTAACCAGACACTAAATATTTAAAAACTCTTTAGCATGCCTTATTCTCTCACAGATAAATCTTGCATTCCTCCAGAAGTCAGAATAACTAATTTACCAGAGAGAAGAGCGAGACAATCTGCTGTTTCCATTTTGCGTTCCAAAGATTTTATCATCCAGGCTACTGTCGGAAAGGCGGAGTGTAACTCTTCACAAGCACTACAATTTGCATGGTATCTATTCAAATATAAGGTTAAAGCTTCAGGAAAGGTTCAGATACAGGATACAGTTCTCTTGGATTCAAGAATTACAGAGTGGACCTTACAAAAACGGACACTTGATTACGGGCAGTACTACGTGGATATTAGAGCAACTTACTCAAACCAACCTTCTGTAATAAGCAGTTCTTTAGGATTTTTCAAAATTAGCAAGTCTAAACTTATCGCCGACGTTGCAGGAGGGAACAAAGTCACGAGAGGAAAGGTAAATCCCATTTTATTAGACGGATCAGCCTCCAGAGATCCAGACGTAGAGTCTGGTAACCATGCATCGATGCATTTCACGTGGCTGTGTAAGAAACGTCAAGAGCACTTTCCCAATGGTTCGTTGGACTCACTACCAGTGATTAACAACTCTCTGGGTCCTGGTAGTGGTGGATGTTTTGGAACCGGTGTTGGAAAACTAAACTCCAATAGTTCAATAGTGGAATTGGACACGAGTCAGATGACTGTTGGTGAGATGTATGACGTCAAGCTCATCGTTACGAAGGATAACAGAATAGACGACTTCACTCAAGAAATTAAGATTGTCATCGGTAATCCACCACAAGTGACTATCCGGTAAGCACCTATAAGAATTAATACCTTTATTCTATTTTGAAATGTTTTGGCCATTCGAAACGAATTTTTAATGAATTGGTGTCGTTTGACGATGAGAATTCATTCTGCTAACTCATTGTCAAATTTTTTAACCATAATCCTGAGAATAACTGTCGGGAAATCGATTTCACAGGAATTTATAGTGAACATATTGCCACATTCCTTAAAAAAATTTTATTGCTCCATCTTTGGAACTGTCATTTTAAAGGCTGGGCGGTTGCCCTCTAAATATTTTAAAAGCCTGACTGCTCAAAGCAAGCTTACAATGTATACTAGCAATGCATGCGTGCAATGCATTTGTGCAAATTGGTGGTTGAGAAAGGCGTAAGTATTGTGTGTTGTATAGATTTAGATAAGCAACAACAAAAACAACAACAAGAACAACAACTGCGATACCACATTCTTTTGCAACTTCATTCCCATTATATCATAGATGCTTAATTAACTGCGAGAAGATGGCAAGCGCCTCTACAAGAATCAGCATCGCAACTACGTGCAAGGGATTAGCGTGTCAGACAGCAACTTACAGCTGGCAGCTTGTCATTGTAAATGCCATTGGACATGAGCTCCCAGGAAATATCCTGACCCGTAACATGACAGAGACTGATATGGATCTTCCTGGTATCATTATTAAAGCAAATCAACTGCCTCCACTCGTTGTCAGTGAGTGGTTTTATCGACTGAAAGTCTGGGTCTCGCAAGACCACGGACCCGCTGGAAATGCAGCTTATCAATTCAGAGTGAACGCTCCGCCAAGCTCCGGAAATTGCACTGTGACTCCGAAGAGTGGACAGGCGTTGAAGACGGCATTTTCATTTTTATGCTCTGGTTGGCAGGTGAGAAATAAATTGCCTATTCCTGAGGGCAGATAAAAATGAAATTGCCTGTTCCTGACAGACTTCTCTTGCACGACGACCAAAAACATAAAGAGCAAAACTTACCAACCTTTCAAGCAATCCTTTGACATGCGACTTCACATGAAAGCCACACTTCACCAAGAATTCCTAACCAAATCTGATCTTTCATTGTTGGTAAATTTTTCTTCCCGCAGTTTCCTCCTGCACACTTTCAGGCTTTCATTCTAAGTTAAGAAATGAATCAATAAAAGTAGTCAATCGATTCTTTCATAAGTTAAATGAAAAAAAGTAAACCGAAGAAAGTGATGGCATTAGAGAGACTAATGGAAGTTCTATTCGATAGAGTTTCCGTGTGAATGATTCATGTTGTGTAGTGCTAGATGTCACTTTTATGTAAAGACACCATACCAATACCTCTACTTCTCTATCAAGTCCCTCGCCATCAAAATGAATGAGGAATTCCCACGTCTCATGAACAAAGAGCTGAAATCAATACCCCAGGCTAAACAGAGATAAACTGAGGAGAAATCCTGGCACAAATGATCATTGATCCCCGGTTTGAAACATTATACAAAGATTATACATTAGTTATTTTTTTAAGGATCCACACCAACCTCTGACGTATCAGTTTCATTACAAAACGGACCATGGCTTGTACACCGTCGTGCAATACGGGTCTACTGATCACGTGTCAACAGTGCTTCCCTCGGGAAAGAGAAATGGTGGATATATCATTGATTTTGAAATTTTGATAACAGACAGTCTGTCGGCTTCCAGCAACTATGTTCTCCACGTAAAGGTGATTGTTTTAGTACTTGCTAGCTCTGTCTGAAGTTACAAAGTATTGTGGAAAATGTTTACCATTGTTTGAGTTCAAAGGATACGATAATCAGAGTAAGATGTAAATTTTCCACGGAAAAACTTGAAAACTTTTGAAAATTCGAATTACTAGCAACTCGAACTCTTAAGGAAGGTCAGGTAATAAAACATAATTAGGATATTTCCCTGAAACATAAACAAGTAAACTGTGTAATTTCCAAACTGGATGCAATTTGCAAACATTCTGTTTAATGATTTTTATTTGTGTTTTGTTTATTTTTCGTTTTTATTGCTTGCCTGTTTTTCTGTTAATCTCTCAGTTTCTTGTCTATCAGCGAAACCCCTTTCGAATCACTTTGCGCTACTCTATCGTGTCAGGTCACAATGGCGTGGGGGGAGGAGGGGAGGGGGGGGAGGGGGGCCACACTGTGTCAAAAAGAGGATACTCAACAGTTTTTGCAACCTGAATATTGTAGGTTGTTTGCCTTTAAAAGAGCTTTACAAAGAAGGAAGGGGGCCCGGGGTCACGGGCATCCCAGGACCCCTCGTCCCCAACTTAGCCCCAGTGTGATAGTTGATCAAGGGGAAAATTAGCTTTAGTTCACAGGAACCCTATATTGCCTTATCGTGTTCTTAGGTCGAGCCACCGCCTGCTAACGACAGTCTCAGTGGACTCGCAGTTGGAAACAATAGTCAGTTTAACACTTTGGTCAAATCAGGGAATATTATAGGTGCTACACAACTAGCAAATGCTGTGCTAGGAACAGTCGAGGAATCAAATTCTACGTCGACCGAGGACAAGATAGAGGTATCTGTGCCTATTATCCTCTCAAGCTATCTGTGACCGTGTATTCGCAACGTTTGGGTCAGGGTCATGGGTAGTACTGCCTGACGTTTCCAAGCTTGACCGGAAGTCATCTAAAGTCAACTTCTCGCTCAGAATGGGTTGAATTTTCAAAAATTTAGAATTACTACAAAAAATATAGGAATACTATTTAACTGAATCAAATTTTACAACTGCGGGTTTAAAGACATTTCTCTCCTCTTCCTTTTTTTCCTTTTTTTTTACTACAGAAGGAGAAAGACTGTTGATTTGAAAAATGTTTTGACTTCGTTTGACGAACAGCACCGTATTTTGTTACCAGTTTTTCTCTTTAAGAAGTACTGAAGTGGCACGGGGAAGGGGGTTAAATGATCCTTAGTAAAGGTGTTATTCAACGTTAGGCTAAAGGTTCTATCGGTATTTCAGATCAAAGACTCCATTGTGCGAAGTGTGTCAAATATTCAAGTAAACAATCTACAATCCTTGACTCAAGTGACGTCTGTGATCGCACGAGCCACACTGGAACCGAGTGAGGTGACATTTGATACACAGGTATTTACAGCTCTTAAAGGTCTTATTGTCTCAATTATATGATTGTCTCAAAGAAAAGGGGTAGCTGAATATTATTCTAACGTTTGACGTTCATCGACTGTGAGACTTCTGAAAACAATCTTTCATCTATCTTTTAGGATCTTGCTCTGCAAACCTTAAGATCCATGACGTCATTGTTACGAAGCAAGACCAAAGAAGATTACGGTTCAGAGTCTGTCTTAGTTGAACAAGGCGGGGAGAACCTGGTACTGAGTCTGGGTAACATTCTTAACTCTGCTGCTCAGAAGGCAAGTGTGATCGAAAGGACAGCGGAGACATCGGAAATACGATCCAAGGTGAATACCTCGTTTCATTTTTTTCTGAGCATACTTTGCTGAATGTGTCCAATCGCTGATTGATTTGTTGGCTCTTTCCCTGTTTCTTTGTGCGTTCTTCTTGGTGTTTTCGTCAGTTTGTTCATTCATTTAGACAGTTTCCATCCATTTGTCCATCCATTAGTTCATTTCCTCTTTCATTTAACCCTTCATTCTCACCTCCTCCTTCACTTTCCATTTTTCTCATTCTCACGGTGCATGTGTCTCTTCAACACGAGGTCCGACACTTAAACCAAACACAAATATATACCACCTTTCCATGTTTTTTTTTCGTTTTTAACAGAGTGAAAATGTCTCGAAAGACACAGCGAAGCTTATCGATGATGTAAGCGTTGCTCTCCTATCAAAAATGTTAGTGGACCAGGAACCCAACCGCGTGCAAACACAGTCCTTGAGCATGGTGCTCAACAGACTTAGTCCCAAATCACTGGAAACAGCGACAAATTTTACTGACGATCCTTATTCAGGAGAGTTCAAATTTTCTTTTAACGCCATAACCGACGAGAGAGCGAGAGATGCTGAGTACATCGACAGTGTGGTAAGCAAATTGAGTTTCTCTGAGAGTTTTGAATGATTTTAAATTTGTAGTTATGTATAGTTTACTTCTTAGTTTCGTAGGAGAAAATTGGTTTATCAGATATATTTCGGATACCATTCCCTTCTTATCAAAGAGACTATCACACAAGAATTTTTATCAGTCTTTCCAAAACATGCATTTCTCTTACCCAGTTCTTTAAGGATTTCTTTGCGAAACTTATCTGACTGGCTACTTTTTGGCGGTTGCTTTTACAATATATGTCTCAAGGGTACTATGTACCACCTTTGAGCCCGCATCGACGCAAAATGCTGCTATAAAACACAAAGTTGGTTTTTCTTATTTTTCTATCAGATGACTCTGAGTACATTCAATCCTTTCACGTGGGACGACAGTGCAGCCCGTGTTAATTCTAACGTCCTCAGCTTGACCATCAAAAACCACGAAGGTCAGACTTTATCAGTGAAAGATAGTAACGAATATATCGAGATGAAGATTCCACGTGAGGGCAATTTTCTGCCCGAAGGAAGTGGCTTGTATTTTACTAAACCCAGCAGTGAAGGAAAGATGCAATACCATGTAGTGAGTTTGCAGCATGCGGACGGTAACGCTGTGAGATTTCGAGTAAGTATTATGACTTTAAAATGAACAACTGATTCTGGAGGAGAGAATACGAGGACATCTTTCTTTAGAGGGAGGGTGTGTTCAGCTTATGAGCAATATCTTTCAGAGAGCAGAAAGTGGAGGCGAAAACTGGATATGTGTTGGTTGATTAGAAGAGATGCTTAAGGAGGCTGAAATGTTTTCTTTTTAAGATGCTGTAAGGATAAAGGATGCACATTGGGATTTACCGCTCTATAGTGCATTCGAGAAGTTTGTGAACCCGAACCAAAGTGATCATAGCGAAAATCCTAAGAATAGAGAATTGCAAAAAAGACTTATATGAGGCTTATATCAAGCAAGCAGCCAGAGGGTTAGGACAGAGCGAGTGATCAAGACTAGGAGACTAGCTCTCGTTTTGCAACTGAGTGGTTAAAGGAGCGGTATTTTTCTTCTACACCAGTCCATAATATAGTGATTAAATGCAGCGCAACCCAGGAACACCTTTGATGCTCAATTAGGAATTTCTTGAGACTAAAATGGTTATTCGTCAAATCACTATTCTTTCAGATCAAACCAAGTAAAGGCAAAGTCATCTTCAAAGTATTCGTGAGATATGGCCGGCGACCAACTGTCACAGAGCATGATGTATCAAGGCAAATTCCGCATCCTTCATGCTTGAAGTCCTCCCAAGATTCTTACAGCCATTGCAGGAATGATGCGTACGACGTCCTTTTGTTACCTGACAAGGTGAACAAACCAGGGAAATACTATATTGGCATACTGTACGAAAATTATGAAGGAGAACTTCCGAGTCGACGAAAGAAGCGATCATGTTCCGGAGGGGGCCGCCAAAAGAGATCATGCGTGGAGGTTAAAGAAGCACCAAGACCTGAGAACATCACGGTAAAGCCAGTTTATGACCCAAAGACAGACGTAAACTACTCGTTGAATCTGGTGGAAGAAAACTGTCTGTTTTGGGACAGTATAGAAGAACGCTGGTTATCAAGGGGATGCAAAGTAAGTTTATCTACTATTGTTTAAACCCAATTACATAAACAAGCATCATCCCCTTTTTTTTGCACCTCTTAACTGACCAAACATGAGTTGTCTCAAAATTTGAATGGGAGAAGGAGAGATGTTGAAAGATACTTATGACATATTTCATAGGATGGGAAAGAAGATGTTTGGATATAAAAGATATGCCATCTTGAAATTCCATAGGAAAAGTAATTTCTTAAATGAAGGTTATTGCAAATCATCCTGTTTTCCATAACATCGGTTGAAAAAACCTGAAAAATCAGAAAAAAAATCAGTTATGTTGTAAATTGCCTTGCGTCGTGTTACACATGAAGTCATAGCCTATTTATTATAATGACTTATTTGCCTATGCAAAGTTTGAGTTTGAAATCACTGGAATGCAAAATGCTGATATAAAATCCTGTTCAAAAATGCAATCTCTGAAGACTGGTGCAAAAATTATTTCCTTTTCAACTGTTTCTTGCCTCACAAATATTATATTATGACGGGATTTTGGTTTTAAGGAATTCGAGTTATTCCTATCTTTTCGATATGACAATGATTTCACCCTTTTACCCTTTGATCTTTTGCAGGTAGGCCCAGGTTCAGAGGTTTCATCCTTACATTGTTTGTGTAATCATCTGACGTCATTTGGTGGAGGTGTCCTAGTGATGCCGAACAAGCTAGATTTTGATGTAGTCTTCTATGAACTCACGCGCCTCCATGAGACTGGAAATGTTGCCGTCCTTGTCACAATAATTGCAGTACTGCTATTGTACTTTTTAGTGGTAGTATTTGCAAGGAAATATGATAGACAAGATAAGGCCAAAGTATGTAAAAGACAGAACTTACATTTTCTATGAAATAGGGACAAAATTAAAAAGAATGAAATATAATCAGCTGTCAAATTAACAAAAGCCATAAAATCAGAAGCGTAACAACAACCAATCAAGCGGAAGTAAGAATGATTGATACATTAATGTAGATAGGAACAAAGAACGAGTTTTCATTTTGTGGGCACAAATCAGTCAAATTGTTACCATGATTACCCAAAATTGGAGGAGAACATGGTCTCGACGGTTCGATGCCATCACATCAGAAATGATGATAATATTAATGCTTTTCTATATATACTTCTCAGCACGATTTTAACGGAGGTCGATCACAGACAGATGCTAAGCTGTATGGAAGTTAGGTCCAAAAAAAAAAAAGAAAGAAAAACACATCAGCAAAAGGTCGAATAGTAGAAACATTGGTACAACTAAGCGATGCAACATTGCAGCTTCACTATTTTGTAACAGATCTGACAGTCCCTACGGAATTTCCGCCTCATTAAAAACCCAACTCAATTGCAATTTGGTTTCTTCCCTTTATCCTCAATAAATTGTATTCCTTATTGCTTCTTTGTTTCTTGTTTCTTGTTTTCATTTTTACGGAAGGAAGATTTTACAACCTTCAAATGCAAATCTTGCAAAGCTATTTCACTTTCTGCTAATATTTACGGTGATGATATGAGTTAAATATATTGCTAATTCAAACTGATCTTAACGAGTCACCGCATTTGTTTTATTCTCAGAGTGGTCCAGTTTTCCATCTACTTTCTTGTCATGAGGCAAATGACTTTGAGTACCAACTGACATTGGCCACGGGAGTGTGGAAGAATTCTGGGACTGATGCTCGTATCGTTATCATCATTCATGGGAACGAGGCGCAGAGTGAACCTCTGATATTGCACAAGAGCACAATAGACTCAAGGACGTTGTTGGCGCGTGGAAACGAGGATACATTTAGGATTCACCTGCCAATGTCACTGGGTGAAATTGAATACATTCGCATATGGCATGATAATTCGGGAAGAGATCCTTCATGGTTTCTAAGCCATGCGATTCTCCTGGATCTTCAGACGGGTAGAAAATGGACATTTTTTTGCAACGATTGGTTTGCGCTGGAGAAAGGGGACGGTAAAATAAACAGAATTTTAACTCCTGTTGGTTCGCAGGAGATGCAGACGTTTAGTTATTCTTTGCGATCGCAAGGCTCCAGAGGTTTTTCCGATGGACACATTTGGCTTTCGGTTGTTACTAAGCCACCGAGGAGTAAATTCTCACGTGTCCAAAGAGCTTCTTGTTGCCTTTGCATACTGTTGTCTGCGATGTTAGCAAATGCCCTGTTCTACCGGGCGGACAAAGAGCCAGATCCAACTCTACAAATTGGTCCGTTAAAATTCAGCTGGAGACAAATAATGGTGGGAATTGAAAGCGCCCTGATAATAACTCCAGTAAACTTAATGATTATGACATTTTTCAAGAGGAGTGGCGAGAAAACTCCAAATAAAGTCGACGTGGAAAAACCGAAAAACAGTCCTGCTCCCTTTTGTGACAAGTTGTCAACTACCAGTTCAGGGGATATTCACGACATTGATGTAACGCTAAACGAAAAGAGGTCTTACTTTGATAAAAACTCCCAAAGTCAGACTGATGCCAAGAAGAAATTTATGCTCCCTCACTTCTTTATCTACGTTGCTTGGTTTTTGGTCCTTGTTACTGTTTCTGTGTGCGCCGTTTTTACGTTCTTCTTCAGCTTGCAGTGGGGAAAGGATATTTCAAACCAGTGGCTTTCCTCAATGTTTGTATCTTTCACCCAAGACCTATTTGTCCTACAGCCTTTGAAGATATTGCTTATCATGGTGTTAACAGCTTCTTTGTTTCGCGATAAAAATGAAACTGAAACTGTCAGCTACAATAGTGAAGAGAAACTGCAATCACAAATAAAATCTCACGGCGGCAATCAGAGTGTTAAAGTAGAGATGCCAAAAGAGGATGACCTCATACTTGCAAGAGAGAACAGCACAAAGGAGGCAAAGATGTTTTCCTTTTTGAGGGAGCTTCTTGGATACCTTCTGTTTCTCTTTTTGCTTATAATTGTGTGTTACGGTAGCAGAAGTTATCACGGATATCTCATGACTATGGATCTAAAAGATACACTTGGCAACTTTTCTTTGGTAAGTAGCTCTGAATCTTAGGGTAACCGACTGACCCGGTCAGTGTAAACGTCCCTATTCGAACGTCATGGTGATAGGGAGACAGGAATGAGGCAGTGATACGATCAATAGCATTCAATGGCCGGGGCCTGGGTTTGCCTAGTATAGATGAAGATATGGGACGTTTTTGAATTTTTGTCATTACTCCGAAAGTTCCACCAAGCGCATTTAAATTTAGCTAAACGCGATATGATACTGTTATATTCTATTTCAAAGCGAGATTTAACTACTGAAAATTCCCTATACGGAAGGCGAAGTTTATTTCGGAGGTGGCTATTACTTAGCTGCACTTAAACACCTGGAACCACACACATTTAACTTTTAATTTATCACGTTATAATTACGCAGAATATTTCTCTTCCTTCCTGGTATGTGTGTCTTTTGGTTCGTGGTCACTGCACATTTTAGAACGTTTTTTTCCTGCCTAGGCTTACGATCCTCCGTATTTCTGGAAATGGCTCGACATTCAGTTTGTGGATGGTGTCTACGGCAGCAACTGGTACAACAACGACAAAATCAAAAAGCAAGAGTACATTGGTAACAAGATGTCTATTCTCTTAGGAATGCCTCGCTTGAGACAACTAAGAATAAAGAAAGGTAAGTATGACATTATTTAAGAACTTTCAATCTTATAAACGTAGAACTGGTAAAAATCATCGTTGTTGTTAATTGTGGTGATTATTTAAAAAAAAGTTCGCAACTTTTTTTCTGTTTTTATTGCAAATATAGCAAATATTAGAACCTAAATCATGGAGAAGAAAAGAAAGAGAGAGAATAAGGAGAAAAATTGGATAATAAAAGAAATAAAAGAATAAAGAGAGGGCAGATTCCTCTGATTATAACAATGAAATCTTGCTCCGGCAACACGAAAGAGAAGTACACAAGGCAATCAAAGTTGTGAGGACTGTATTCGACAGTAATTTACTTTTTTTTTTTTTTAATCAGATTCTTGCATTGTTCCAAGGATAGTACGAGACATCATAAACAGGGGCTGCTACGACCTCTATAATTTCGATGAAGAGGATAAAACTCCTGCAAACCTTCCAGGCTGGGAACCCTTCAGTGGTTCTGTAGAATGGGCAAATTTTTCCCAGCTATGCCCGGTACCATGGCAATATGTGCCAAACGAGGAACTCTCACCGAGCTGGGGTTACTTCGATGTTTATGACGGAGGTGGTTATGTTGCAGATCTAGGCTACAATAGCAGTACAGCTCAGGCAGTCATCTCCGAATTGATAGAATACGGTTGGATCGACCGGCAGACCCGCGCCGTCCTACTTGAGTTCACTATCTATAACCCTAACACGGGCTACCTAATCATTTCAGCGTATCATTTTGAAATATTGCCCACAGGGTATGGCTATCCTTTTCCAAAGATAGACACTCTTCTGCTGACAAGTACTGAAACAGGCTTTTACGAGTTTTATCTGATTTGTCAGTTCTTATTTATCATGATGGCATTCGTCTTTTTCATCGTAGAGATGTACAAGCTATATCTAGCTAAGTGGACTTATTTAGGAGATGTGTGGAACTGGGTGGAAATTCTACGAATATTTTTGTCGGTACTGGTCGTGGTATTCTACATAATTAAGTCAAAGCTGATGCTTAAACTCGCTGCTATTGTGAAGGAAAACCCATTTGCCACCGTTAGCTTTGGAGAAGCCGTTACCTGGAGCCATGCAGAAACCACTGCTTTAGCCATTGCAGCTTTCCTCACAACCTTGAAACTTCTACACATAATTCGCTTTAATCAGCACGTCTCCATAATGATGTCCTCATTTCGCGTTTGTAGGAGTTTATTGTTGTCCTATTCTGTGATTTTTATCATTATTTTTGTCTCATACGCTCAGATGGGGAAGCTGGCATTCGGCGACCACATTCATGGTTACTCATCAGTCTACAATGCATTGTTTTCTGAAGTTATCATGTGCCTTGGCGGCCAAATGAGATTTCATGAGTTAATAGGAGTTCATCGCTTTTTGGGTCCTTTATACGGTATTTCCTTCCTTGCTCTGATGTCCTTCATTTTTATGAACTTTTTCGTGGCAATTTTGAACGATTCTTTTGAAGACGTCAAAAGCAACACTGATAAACAATCCAAAGAATTTGAGATGGCTGATTTTATACTAGAGAGAGTGTGTGATATGTTAGGAATTAGCAAGCGAGGGAAAGATGCGGGTCAGAATGCCTCAGTGAGGGAGGATGACGCAGCTTCTACCAATTCCCAGGATAACTTCGATTTTCCTCTAAGAGAAACGTCCGAGGAAAGCGGCTCAAAACCTAACGAAAACCTGAGCGCCAAAGTTAAGCAGACAGCCATTAAAAAATCCCCATCACAGCATTTGGCAACCAAGTTAGAGTTCGAGAGACCGATTAGGCCAAAATCTTCAAAAAGAACGCCCGAAACACCCGAAAAGGTTTCTTCAAGTGAGCTTGATTTGGATTCTTCATTAGAACAGCTGTTTGAAAGGATTGGTGTGTTGGCCGGTGATCTCGCTATGGATGATGAACAACAGGATGCAAAATTGCTCAATGTGATCAGCCAGATCCTTAGAAACAATCATGAAATTCCATGCCAAAGAACGTCATCTAAACTACGTCAGATCGAAGAGTCTTACTCGGTACCAATCACTTCACAAGACAACACTGAATATAACAGGAGCAGTGAGTCAAAGAATTCTTCCGAGGATGAAATTATGAAATTTATTAGACGCAGATCAACTCGCGAGCTACCAATCCACTTAAAAGTCGGAAGTTTTTACCATCAGCCTCAAAATAATCGAACCGGTGGTAAATAAGAAAAATAGGCTAATCAATTGTGCTGTAAAATTGTGTTTTTCATGGATATATATTTAGCTTATCTCCATCTCAAGAAGAGCTCCATTAACAAAGGTGTTAAACGTATGAACGAAAGTTATAAGAATTAAACCATTAATTTCTCAACATCTATTCTGAGTGCACAAGCGTAAGGATCAGTACAGTGCCTCTTTTGAAAACCAGTCTCGCTTGAACTACATTTTCCATTTTTCGTCTAAGAGGGGGAATTTTGTTAATTATTATGACTATGTAGAAAGATTGTATAGGATTTATCGACGCACCAATTAATAAATTCTAATAAAACCATATTTCAAGATGTAACAACCCTCCGTAATTGGGGAACTGCCATTGTTTTGAAAAAAACTTGCTTGTCAAACTTTATGACGATTTCAAACCTTTTTCGTAATAATGACTGACTTTCGTTGAATAGCTGTTCAAGACGAGAGAAGCGAACAAGTTCATCTGCAGTGATAGCGCTGGCAGATGCATTTTATGTATGACACATAAAACAGATTTTGCATAAACCTTTTTCGATCCTTTGCTGACATTTACTACTAATTTTGAATGGTGTAACGACTCCAAACGATTTCTTATCCGACGAGTTACGAGTTAAGATAACAGAGTTAATGCTGGACATAACTTAGTTGTCCGGTATTAAGCAGTGAATATTACGAACTTTTTCCCGGCACAATGTTTCCAGGCATTTTCTTTTTTTAAACTTCGTACCTTACCGTTTCGAAATGTAGTTATAGCTTTATGTTACAATCTTTTGACTGACTTGATGACGACCCAATGTAACTCCGATGGCTTGGACTTTCCCTAGGGTCCATACCATATGCAACTAAATTTCCCCAGGCACTTATTTTTTCAGTTTTTATGGCTCACGCTTCCTTTCCATCGATTCTGTCATTTGACTCCAGTTGAAACAGGGCTGAAATAGCTGTTGAAAGGCCAGCCTTAGACAAATTTGGTTAATGAAGAAAAAAAATGGCCGTTATTCTGGTACACGCTCGATAAAGAAAATGATGTGCATTTTACGCCTGTCTGTGGCTTGATCAGTTCTCGTCAGTTCAGCATTGCGATCTTAGACTAATCACCGCAGAAAACGTTGATGTTGTATATACAATCTTCGAGCTCGTCACTGTGCACGCTCTGACAAAACTTGAAGTCATTTTGCTGCGTTGTAGTGGAAGTGCATCCTTAATCTCGGGCTTTCATGCAGGCAGCTTAAAAAAACTGTGCATAGATCGTACTTGGCACCATCTTGTGGACGAACGGAGACAAAAATAATGATAATTGAAAAAACACTTAAACAAAGGGGGCTCCAGCACAAAGGCAGGTATGTTTTCAATAAACCTCATTCTTTTAGTGACTCTCAAAACTACTTCCATGCTTTTCAGTCGCTCTTAGTATTACATTTAATGTTTTTATATTTTTGCGCTTGTAAAAACATTTCAATTTCGACGTTGCCTTTGCTCGTAACTTGATTTGAAGTTGCCAATGCCTTCCCTTTTTCTGTCCCATTTACTATTATGGATAAGGATCGGGCATTTTCTGTCCTATTGTAACTTGGTGGGGAAAAAGCCAAAAATATCGGTGTAAATGGGCAAATATTGACTAGATCAATAATATAATTGGACAGTTTCTAGTCCTTTTTAGAAGCGGACATATAATAAACAGACGCATCTGTCTCTTTGGTTTACTAGTCGGAAGTTTTAAAACACGTTTGTTATATTTTTCAAAAATTTCCGGTCATCTTCTTATTTTTCTTAAAAGCAACAAAGGCGCTTTAGAAAGGGCTAAAAATAAAACAAAGAAGCTAACGAAAAACAAACAAAGCACCATGCCAATCACCCTTTTCAAAACACAGCACTTGTTCAGGTAATAAATATATATAAACCTCATAGTTTATTAGATTGTACCTTCAATATTCCACCTGTTTTTGTCTGGTTGCAGTGTGCTTGCTTTATTACATTTGTCCCACGCAATCACCGTGAAAACTTTATCTAAGGAGCAGGGCAATCGCGTTTCAGTTCTTTAATCCAAACGCAACCGAGGGGTCTGTTGATCCATAAGTCTTGAGGTAAAGTCTCTTCATATTTCAAACCTTTTTTCGGACATTCTTCAATTTCTTTTTCTCCATCAAAGCTCGTCGTTATATGGTATTCTCTTAGCAGTAGAGAAATCACGTAAAATTTACAATTTTTATGGTCTTTAACAATTGTCTCTGATATTTGATCGTATAGCAGCTTCTTTTCTTGCATTTTATTCTCCTGCGTGGTGTTGGTTATCTTTGTGTATGTATTTGATCGTGAACTTCACGCTTTTTATAGTTGAAAGTTCGACTTTTTGCAATTGCATCATGCAAGAAAAAGTTTTACAAAAGCCTTTTGTGTAATGTGAATTATGAGTTAAAAGAACGGTGATACACTCGCCTCGCAGGCAGTGTGCTCAACGGGACAACCGTGCTCCTACATTTGTACTTATTTTGTCATTTAATCTTTGTTGTTAAGTAACAATTTCTTACTCCCGGTGATGTTGTTGGTTTCCTGTTTGCTTTTCTTTCAGTTTCCAGTGTGTTCTATCTCTAAGATGAGTTTCAAACTCACAAGTGTTGTTTTGCTTTTGTCTTTGGCATTTCTTTTGGCTCCTGCCAAACACTTGAAAAAACACAAAACCAAGATACAAGGTAAAGTATTCTAAAACCTCTGCTTTCAATTCTGTTAACCAGTTTTAATCTGGCCTTAAACTATTAGAATTTTAAAAACGAAAGACGAGGAAAGGATGCTATATTTCAATTGTGCTCCTATTTTCTCTGCTCTGACGAGGGGCTAACACTCGAAACGTCAGCTTTAGACGCTCTTTACGGTGGCCAATTTACATTGTCAAATCACATTATAAAACCATTTTATTTTGCAATACCCTCTACCAACGCAGCCCCAAAGTTTCTGTAGAAACGTACTCCCCTTAATGTTGGTGACGTGTCATACATTGCACATCAGTACGTCTAGAGATTAAAGAGAATAGTTTAGGCTTGTGCAAACTATGACATATTTTGTTTACTATCGTTAATAAGAACTTTATTCATTATTTCCATTTCTTGTAGATGCAAGACCTTTACCAATGATATATGACGAAGTCAGGTACAGAGGCCATTTGATAAACTGTAGCTACTTCCATATCGTAGATGAGTCTAGTAGCTGGTGCAACTGTCCCTTTGTTGCTTGCACGGGATCACAGTCATGCACCTCAAGGGGCGGATTCTTCTGCAGATTTTTGCACGATAATGTGAATGTAGAAGATATGGACAGAAGTGATTGTGCCTGTAAATATCTTGATGAAAAGAATTAAATCGAATTAATAATCAGAAAAGTCCAGTATGCAACTATAGAAAAGAAGGAAATAAAATGGCGTTGCATTTCAGTACTGAAATATTATTTTTTTACATTTATCTAAAACTAATAGCACTCGTAAGGCCATCCAGAATTAAACTTTTTCTCGTCAATTGATCGCAAATATAGTGCGAAAAAAATCGGAAGTGAGAAGTGAAAAATCGTCCAAGTGAGATTTGAAGAGCTAATGTCAACATGCATGAGACAAACAGCGGCAAGTCACCATAAGTTTGCTTTTACTCCTGCTTTCATATTTTGTAGCCCAATATGTTCTAATGATTGTGGAAATGTATTTCGGTTTTCGAAGAATAATTTTTTTTGTTCGACCGTTCAAATATGCAAGTTTTCACCGTGAATATTACCCGAGTTGTGTGACCTCATGTAACGAATTTACTTGACCTCCGGTTTTTCTGTCCTCACAATCCTTTGTTTTATTACCTAAACTTAATCCCCTTTTATTGTTGAAGCTGGTAAAGAACTTTTTCGAAAAGTAGCATCAAGCTTTTTAAAAGACTAAAGGATGGTTAAAAAGTTACTGTAAAAATCTCCTTGTGTATTTGTGTTGTTCTATCTTGAGACGAACTCAAAGTTTGGCAAATTTACCTGCCAGCGACTATGAAATATACATGGCGTGCCTACTTGTCGCCACCGTTTACTGGCATACATCACTACAATTGGTAAAAAGATCTAACATAACACTCTTATCTTGTTTATTTATGATTTTATTTGCTGTTTCGATGATCACGTTATGCTATAAGACATCCTAGCCAGATTGGAGTTCCGTTTTATATATCTTCCCCATCTTGTTATATCAGTTGCATGACAAGCGTGACACATATCAAATCGTTCCGGAACGAAATTTATTTCATACCACGTTTACATGCGAGATAATTTAACCTGTAAGAGCAAGTATTTGTGCCCTTTTCTGTCTTTTTCTAGGCTTCCCTCGCTCCTCAAGAGGATTCATATAGATTTGAGTATCGTAGTGCGTTATACCTTTTAGGCTCTCACACTTTGATTCTCACTGAATGATAATAATGATAATAATAATAATAATAATAATAATAATAATAATACTCAAGAACTGCAAACAGTAAGAGAATCCATCAAAATGAAAATTCAAGCAAAAGCCCAAAAACTCAGGAGATTTGTAAAAAGAAGAAAACAATTCAGTCAAAACCAGATGCTTGCAAACAATAGCAAAAAATTCTTCAGAAACCTTGATAAAGAACAGACACTAGTTGAAAAACACCTAAGAGAGAAGCAACAGAAACATTTCGGCGTTCCATCTTGAAGAAAAATAGAGAGAACAACCATTCAGCAGAAATGAAAAACTAATCAAGTTAGTGGAAACCTTAATGAGCAACTGGAAAACTACAATGAAGCTGCTTTACAATAATGGATGCATCACAACGGACCAGATCAAGATTAAACGGGTAATCTTTCAAGGAGATTCATTCTCACCTCTGCTACTTTGCCTAGCCCTTGTGTCTTTAACATCAGTTTATCTGTTTTATATTGATGATCTAAAATTATACAGCAAGAAGGAGCAGGAACAAGTTGGAGAACTGAAAATAGTGAAACAATTCAGTGATGATATCGGTATGGAATTTGGCCTTGAGAAATGCGCCAAAGCCTGTTTGAAGAAAGGTAAACTGACCTCAGCTGGAAACATAGTAATAGATGAGGACACAGAATTGCAAGAGTTGGACCAGGAAAGGATATACAAATGCCTGGGTGTAGATTAAAGTGATGGTATCCAGCAAAGCAAATTGAAAGAGAAGATAAGAAACGAATACAATAGGAGAGTCAAAATGATCCTAAAAACTGAGCTCAATGGAAGAATCCAAGTAGAAGCTATCAATAGTCTTGCAGTCCCAGTTGTGTCAAATAGACTGGAAAATCTCCGAACTGAA